AGCTCACATCGTCAATTAGTTTATCTAGCTTTGAAACATACCTTCTATAATCTTGAAAGTGCCGTTCGCACTACCTACGTCTCTCTAAATAGTTACCATAATTAAAATGTTTTGTGCGATTAATTGAAGTCGATTTAAAAAAAGTAAATACAACGGCATGAAATGCAGTACAAATAATTTGGTAGATATCTAATAACAGTGTTCCATTTTAAAGACCGTACGAGAAAGAGATTTTGAATAGGTTAAACGTGCGTCCCAAATTAAATAGACACAAGATTGCAAAAAAATTGCCTTAAGTGAAGTAGACAGTCACAGCGACGACCGATGTGTCATGAATACAAATGTACAATTAATTGAAATGAAGTGTTCAAATGATAGATGCAGGTACACGGTATTACGACCCGATGGCTTCGGCAGCAGCAGTGGCTAGATACAAGCTAGCAACTTACTATTTAACAAAGATTTGAATACGGAAACATATTTACACTATTACAGAGCACGAGCTCGATGTGGCAATATTATAGGTTAATCAATTCCTAGTGACACAAACGGAATTAAAACGTAAAACTCTGACGCCTGGACGCTTGATTGTTTAACATTGTTGTTTGTAGGTTGGCACAAACCGGCCATTGTATGAATGATGATGCCGACATACATCGAGGTTACCCTCGCATCCCGCCTGCAGATTGCACTCATTCGCCACGATATTCAAGGGCTATTGCAAAATTGCAATCGTTAAAACAATTTATTGTCTAGGTCGAGGCGGTGAGTACGAACTGAGGTCTAGAAATTCAGGCCAACGCGACACATCGAAGTAGCATAATATTAGGTACCTATTCTGTATTCATTCTAAGAAAAGATAGAACAATTATTTATCAATGCTAGAATCAAATCATATGTACTATAATTTGATACGAATCTATAACACGGATAGATATCAAAAACTCGTTAATGCAATATTATTTATCTGTTGTAAATATACTTAAGTACGATTTGTTGATAAGATTTCTCGATAGGTACATTGCCGTCTCTACATTTTAGAAATAATGTTAAGTGAATTAATGTAGTCGTTTCTAAGTAAAACCTATACAAAGGTTCTAAGTAAAACCTATACAGAAATTAGTTTCTATTAGACCGTTGTAGGTGCCGGTAACCTGGCCATTCAAACAAATAACTACCTAGATAAAGTTACGTTGTTAATTGATCGTGGAGGTTCGGATTCGGAGAACGCCGCGACGCCGCCACCGGTAACTAACTACACCGAAACTCGTGTAGTTTGAGAGCTCTGCTGATCCGACACAACGGGCCCGTTTGAATAGCACATGCCAATGACGGCTATGGCGCTTCAACTAACCACAAAGCTCACGTATATTAAGCTCCAAAGCTCTCTAAGCCAACCTGCTGTTAATGAATTCCATGCAGTTTGCTTAATTAATTCCTAGTAGTTAGTAGTGCAAGATGGCAGACAGTTGTGTCTTGAGTACACAATGGATGTAGTAACCAGAGTCACAGAGTTACAAATAGCATCATTAGCCTGCGCTAAGTCTAAGTTAAGCTAAAGCCTGGTGAATCAGATCCCTCATATGACATGGTGATAAAAATTGGTGTCACATTTACATTAAAAGTTGTGACCTTAATATGTATTTTTAATGGATTTTTAATGTTTAATAATAAGGATACTAGGTTAGGTACTCATAGTATATACGTAATAATACTACCTACTGACGCTTGATGGTGTCCATCTCACTTTTACCTGTTTTTAATGGCTTGTTTTATTATTTTACGTGTATGAAACTACAAACGTATAGTTGCTTTAGAGTTTAAAATCCCGCAGTAGTGAATGTTCGCGTGACACGAGAAACCAATTTACAATTTTATTATTATTTGCTTTAGGCTGTACTGTCTGTTATAAGTACAACATTTCATTATTGTATAGAAGTAAAGACAGTATAATACAATGTCTGACGGTCTGAGTACTGAAACGATAATATAAATTGTTTGCGATTGATTTGTTTAGAGCTGAACTAATTGAACAATACCCTTGTTTATTGAATGGCAGACAATTTATATTACGTTACCGGTGATGTAAGTCAATTGCCGGTTAAGTGGCTGTACGCTACGCATCTGTTCCTACTCATGACACACTTGCATTCGTCTTGTATCCGTGGCCGTGGACAAATCGCATTGTATTCATCATTAATGGAGGTGTTTATTTTTACACTCTTAAGTTTCTTTATGAACTAATACGGTAGTTTCACGCAAACATCCACTGGATGCAAGTCCTATCCGGTCGATCGGACGTCTTGCCTGATGCTGATAACATGCCCCTGCCTATATCATTGCCTATAGCATTTAGGTAATAATTAGCATCTGATTTATCAGCAAACATATTGAAACCAAATGTTGTCGAATTAGTCTCTCGCATTTCGATAGTTGTGAACCATGCGTGCACTTGCTCATCGGAAGGACAAGGTAAAACTGCTCACGAACTTGGAATTAATAATTTCCTAATATGAATTAATTGTCTGATGACTTCAAATAATAAAAATTTATTTAAGTCCATTACTTCGCTATTAAAATCTGCAATGTTAAGAAGCATAGGGAAACATATTTGCTTACATAACATCGACTAAACCTACTTGAGACGGATTCATCTATACATGTAATAAAATCATAGGAAATTGGAAACTGTATATCGATTATTTCTTTTAAATAATGCTTAGGGCGTGATCTACAGTCGATACAGAAATTTGTCTGTATGTGCTACATGGATTTACTTCAAATTTTGCATGAATATTACTTACAGGTCGGGTCAACATATAGGCTACATATTATCATGCTATCAACTACGGGGGAGAAGCTGTGAACCACTATTTCACGCGGACGAAGTCGCGGGCTCATCTAGTAAAACAATAGAATTTTCATACTCTCGAATCACGAAACAACGTGAACAACGTCATATCTGTTTTCCCTTCAAGCGATAGGTAGTACAGTTGTGAGCTCACTCTCGATACTGTCTTCAAAAACTTTTACCTGGGACAAGTTCGAGGACCGAGGACCTGATGCAGGACTATTCTATTCTCGGCAAGACAGAGAGTAGAAACAAATGTTTCTTTCGTTTTCGGAATCGGAAAAGAGACCTAGAGAGTTACATGTTGTAAATGTGACGCGGGTGAAGCTGTAATTAGAAAGCTATTGGGTATACAGGATGCTTGGTCAGATGTGAAGTCCTAAGAAGTAAGAAATTGAAAAACCTAATTAGCTCTACGCGACCTTGTATTTGCAACCGGCGCCATCGCACTACTAGTAGTAATCTCTTCGTACGACCTAGTTTTAAAGGGGGGAAATCATCGAATGACTTCCCCCGCCTGAGTGAGGCGGAAGGGAGTGTCAGGCTCTTACTGACTAAAAACCACCCCGTTCCTACTCCTGCACATCGAGACGGAACCCCGGTAAAATGTTAGGTTCTCCGCGGCATTTTACAGAGGATACCACCACGATTCACCTGACATATTTTTTAAATGCAGGTAATATTTAACAGAAATATAAAATACCTGAGAATAAGTATAAATCCATGTGTTAATCTGTGATACAAAGATTAAATAATGATATCCGTAGATGCAGATATCATAATCATCACATTAATAAACTTAAACCCGTCTAATCAGTTGAAAAACTTTAAATCCGTCTCTTACACATGTAATTTGAAAATACAAAAAGAATGTAACCATGTAAACCAATATTTAGTTGCTCTAAAACTTCACTTTATTACTTAATTAATAAAAATATGGGCCTTCCACAGATACCATTTTTATTTATTATCTCTTATTGGTAATGTGTCATGTAGTGTGAAGTAAGTTAAAGAACTCACCTAAAAATAAATATTACTTCAACTGTCCCGAGGGGTCACCGGTGACCACAACCTATTGTTCTTAAATTGTGTCTATAATGACGGTACTCAACGAGTTAATGGAACTTTTTAGTGAAAGCCGGTGTAGTTTTTGCAATAACAGGCAGTAAGAGGGATCAAGGGTAAAAACCTCCCAGAGCTGCGGGCTACCTAGCAGGTTACGGGGCATCTGGTCAAAGTAGGAGTATGAGCGGAGTGGTTTTTAGTCAATAAGAGTCTGATACTCTCGCTTCATTCAAGGCAGGCATCCAAGCATGCCTTGTGGCATTGAGTGATTTTCCCCCATTAAAAAGGGGCTAAAGAACCAGATTGATCACCACTGTTTAGTATTTAAACCCTTAACATTGTATATTTTATTTGAAAGTAAGTGTGTAGAACTACATAAGGTACGACATTGTAATAATTGAGTTGATTAGTTAGCTTAATTTCACTACTAGTATTGTTTCATTCTTGCACGCGTAGTAATATTACCTACTCTGTCTACCTGCATAACAGACACACAATCTAAATGTCAAGTGGTGTGACAGCACTTGATGTGCTAAACTGTAACAGGCTATTGGCAAATTGTTACACTTCTATGTAAAACAGTTTATACATTGAACAAAAATATTGCTTCTCAAAAAAATTATGTTTATGCAAATAAATACCTAAGTCATTACATGTTCTATAGCTAATTTACTACTTTTATTATACTTTAAAATATATAATCCTATACCATATAAGATACTGTATCTTTACAATAATGGCAAATACATCAATACAAAATAAAAAACTTGATTGCATCTATATTAAACATGAAATGAAAAAGCCACTGAGCTGTGGCTATTGCATCAACTAGCAGCATATGAGGACATTCACTGACCATTTGACAAACACAATCTGTTTGTGATGGTTTGTTAACCTTAATAAATGAAAATGATCCCTAGATCTATTCACTCTCAAAGTAATGCTGGGCTCACCCCAACTGACAAGTGAGTTAAACATATTTACACAATATACTACTCACTGTTACACTCAGTCATCTTTGGTACCACCTTCAATACTATACTAAATATGTAGAGCACTGAGTCGGCCTCCTTTTCCGGAACTGCTATACGGTGTCCACTTTAGGAGTAGGTACAAGCATGTAAGAAGGAGAAGGCTTGCGCTTGAATGTGACATAGGTGTACAACAAGCTAGCCAGCACACTGATGTTCAGCCCTACAAAGTTTAACAAGGAAAACACATAGTCTCCTCCTATTACCATCCCCAAATATGTAACTAGAATATTCTTCAGACACCCAATGATTGTGGTGGTTAGTGCACTGTTGTACTGAGTGCAAAGCATGACACTGTATGACAGAATGAAGCCCATCACACAAGACATCAGGAACTGTGTAAGGAATAATGAGTCAGACCAGTTTGGGTACTCACTTGACTTGTGTAGGTCTCCAGTAGCCCACGCAATAATTGCTGCGGGGACTATCATGAACAAAGCATTGTAATACATCAGTCCATATTTACCAAGATCTTTGGCATCCAACTTCTTCTTCATGTACACTCCATTGGAAGCAGTGAAAGCATCATTGAGCAGTACTAGTGTGTATCCAGACCATGAGAATGTGACATCGTCGGCGGCCGCAAGCAGAGCTCCTCCCACCATGGCATACACACTGGTTTGAACTGAGCAAGAGGCATGTACTCCCAGTACGAATCGCTCAGCTAGCATTGTCATTAGTATACTGAAGCGTCGAAGGGCCGTGAACATCGGCAGGCTCAGCTCCTTGGTGCCGCCCAGCCCGGTAGCCATGTTTCCCAAGTAGATGACTGGCAAAGGCCAGATTCGTTTAAAGGTACCTCCGTTAAGAGGCGGGAATTGCACTACATTGAGAAATCGACCGAAAAATAACACCGTAATCGTCGCCACCATCTGTCCCAGGCCCAGAACTTGATATGAGGGGAATCCATAGGTCGTCAACACTGTCTTGTTTACCACTGTGATCATAAACGATGCTAATGCATAGAATGTCGCACTCAGGATCTTCTTGAGCATCTGAGCTCGATCCGCCGCTTCCGCTTGCTCCTGCAGGCTAACAGCAGACATCGTGCCACCACGTAACTAATTAAACTAAAGACGATTTAAACTAACATGATCGATTAGCGAACGTTTATAAAACCTTGAGGCCGGTCACGATGTTGTGCATACTATAATTTTAATCGTTCACGCACGTCACACTTTCATGGTCAATTCAATGACTATTTTACCAAAATTTATTAAGAAATATTAACTTGATTACACCACATGCAGGCTTTACCAGAGCGCCAAGCCGTGCTAAGCAAGCAGCGAGCCAGCGACCTGTCAACGACTCGAACTCAAAACTTCAAAAGTGAATACTCGATCTGACATTTAGCTGTCAATCAAGTGCTGTGACGTGCTGACTACTGACATGCATGAAACCGATGCATTGATATTGATACGTGTGCCAATATACCGTTTAAATACCCCGGTTTTGTCCACGGGTTTGTACGTGGTTTGGGATAAATAAACGTATAAATACAAATAAAAGTGGATTAGGTAGGTACCGAAATGTGTATAAAATATTTCTTAATAACTAGACTAAATTGAATACCCTTTTTTTAAGGGGGGAAAATCATCTAATGCCTGGGTGAGGCGGGAGGGAGTGTCAAACTCTTACTGACTAAAAACCACCCAGTTCCTTCTCCTGCACGTCGAGCCGGAGCCCCGGTAAATTGAATACCTAACTCTTTATTGTGCGTTTTTGTTTAAGCAAGTTTTGTAAGATTGATATAATTTACTGGAAATATTAGAAAATAGCATCCGCAGTCAAGTGAAGCTGGAGTAAATCGCTAGGTAGTATAATCAAATGAAATGAAATGAAATGAAATGAAATAAGTTTATTCGGCATAAGACATGCACGCCAGAAAAGACATATAAATATAAAAAAAACATAAAAACAGAAAAATTAAAAGATAAAAGTTAAATTATAAAACTAAAACTAAAACTAGAACTAAAACAAGCCAATAAGCCATTCAAGTGCGCGGTGTTGGCGGACATGTCCAATCCGAACGGGTCACCAACTCAGCATAAAGCTGGGCACAATGAGCACCCAACACTGATTTTCAGTTGGCACCCCTACAGTGACGCACGGACGAGAGCAACACATACTTGTAATCCACATAAAGTCAAAGTCAAAGTCAAAATCATTTATTTCAATTAGGCCAGAATGGCACTTTTGAACGTCAACAAAAACAAAAATTTAAAGTGAAGCTATTTGCTCATTCCAAGGCGTAGATTCCTATGCAGAAGAAGATAGAATATGTATAGAAACTTTGTTATTAATTTTGTGGGTTCTAGCCTAGAACCCTAGGTGAAGTGTTCAGTCAGATGAAGAAGAGATTTAATATGGATATTAAAATATTATCACATGAAGAAGAGACAGATAATAAAAATATAATTATAATTAAAATAATGTTCTGTTAAATAAATAATCATCAAATTTTAAAAAAAACCACAGATTACATTATAATATGCAAAAAGAAGCTGCCAAAAATAATTATTATGTAAGTATATGAACGTGCTAATTTAAGTATGCCGTAGGGTATTTGAAAATAAAATAAAACACCATGAAACCACAATGTACAATACAACTCGGATGTCGCGGGTAGTCAGGGTGCCTGATCTCATGCTCATTTGCAACGTAACCGCGCGCACCATCACTAAGATTGTATTGCGTTCCTATTGAAGGAAACAAGCCGGGGTTGTGTGCCGTAATATAAAGCAATAATAATAATTCACGTACAAAACCCGCGGTGAAACTCAAACTGTGACGGTGAGTGTTCAATTTATTAACAAATATAATAGTTATTAATAATGTGCTATAATAATTGTGAAGTTATGTGTGTAATGTGTGGACAGATAATCAGAAATCAAAAAGCTAATGGCCGGGACGCACTTGTAACTCCTCGTGTGTTTTTTTACGGAATTGGGAGAAAACAAGCGGACGTAACATCTGCATTGTTTCGAGCGTAGCTATAACTGTACCATCTAAAACGCCCAATGGGGGCTACCGTATTTTTACTCACCAGATGGCGCTAGTGTGAGGCTCTCGTATTTAGTCCAATGTGTGACACTAGCTAATTCTCTATAGCTAGTGTCACACTATAATTATACAATATTTGACAAAAAAAGGTAGCCCATATTCTCTTACAACACGACGCTCGCCTGAGGCTGGGGAGGAGGATGAGGTAAGACTCTTATAGACTTCACATTATCCCGGTGATTCGCTCACTCTATAGGTAAGAGGATGCGTGAAATATATTACTGACCTTGTCAGACTCTACCTAGGTACACAAAGGAGTAAAGTAAGGTTTCGTTGTCCTACGTGATTCGCCTCACAAAGCGCACGTGGACATTGTCTTAGGACGTTGAATATTATCAGGTGTGATAGAAGAAGAAGCTGAATTTTTTAATGATGCTGATTAAGCGACCTGGCCGTTCTGAAGAAAAAAGAAGAAGAAGAAAACAAACTATAATACCAATAAAGCAATAATAGCAGTGCATTTCGTCAGAATTAAAGATCTTTTACAGTGTGAAAAAGACGATACCAACTCTCAGAAAACTATAAGTGGTCGTTTTTTATTCTGTGTTGTCTAAATTTGCCACATGATTTATCGACTTAGACTTCGGTTTAGTGCCACAATATAAACAGATTATTTCGGCAACTTAATGAAAATGTAATAATTGTCAGGATCTTATATTCACTATATAATAAACATCCTGTCGGTAATTCATCTTTACTTCTAGAATAAGATAATGCGCGCTGTAGGGGGTTCCTATGAACGACTGTGGCGCCCTCATTTATTTTCATTGTTGAACAGATAAGATACTATAACATTTTCAAAATGTGAGACATAACAGTGAACCAAATGAACCAACTTCAGTGCCAACTTCTACTCGTTATTATTCTATATTTTATCAGTGGTCTACACGTCAACCGTCGGCAGATAAAAAATATTGTTACACATTTATATGGACAGATTAAAAAAAAGCTTGTCTATGACCAAATGAATTAATTATTTTTATAATTTACTTATTTACCAATATTTGTAAAATATTTTAAGTTAAATTTATCGTCGTCCTAATTAAAAAATAACATATGCTTTAAAATACATTACATGTAAAACCGCAATTTTCAGGTATTTATTTTTTCACACACTCTGACATAATGTTGTTTGTCGGACAATGAACGAACGGTGCATTGTGAAGAATCCGTGTATCAGACAGACCAAACCAACCAAGCGACATTTTGATTATTATTCCATTGTATTGCCATGTCAGTCAATATTGTTTGTGTAATATAAATAATCACGGATAACGTCGTAGTGATGCGTTGTTAATAATGTTTGAGGAATAAGACGTTCATAACTGATTCGTATACGTAGGCAATAATTCGCGTTTGAGTTTTCAGTTATGTATCACTGTTGGGACGCGTAGCTAGTCTGAAAGTGGTACAGGTAGTGTTAGGAGGGCATCTTTTGTTTTTTTATCGTGATTACTGGGATTTGTCGGCGGGATGGCTGTTCCCGAACAGTTCTCGCTTCGATGGAATGATTTCCATTCGAATTTGTCACAATCGTTTCATGCCTTGCTGGAAGGTGAAGACTTGGTAGATGTGACCCTGGCCGCTGGTGGCCAGTACGTGCACGCTCACAAACTGATCCTGTCAGTATGCAGCCCTTACTTCAAGGAACTTTTTAAGGTATGTATTATGTGTTTTGTTGATATTACTTGTACCTACACTAGCTTCTTTTTCTCAGATGATAATCTGGTGTATGATGATGTTGATGATGTCTTCAATACTCTCTTTGGACACAATACAAGCGTCTTTCCTTTCAGTTTGCCTCACCCTTTGCAAATTGCTAGGTATTTAGATACCTGAACAGTTTATCTGTCTGACAAGAGTGCAGTATAAATAGATAGCTATACTGTTGTGCATATGTAATGTCTCATATGTAGTTGCATAGTTATGAAGATGTACATGTGTCCAGCATGGCTGCTAATTGTATTGATTTTTATCTATAGGTGTCTAGATGTTGTGTATCACACTCCCCCACACCCCCTGCAAAGGGTGCAAGCCAGACAGGAGGGTTGATTTTAGGTATTTAGCATTCCCTGCCCGCATCCCTACCTCACCTCTGATCTGTATGGGGAGGGTCTCCCTTATTGTTATTTGTGAATTGGTAGTGGCTGCTGGCAGTTGAATATTTCCCTTGATTGTGAACAGTTTGCTCCACTTAGAATCTTACTAATTTTCCTGAATTTGTTGGTAAGTATTTTTGTAATATGTTATTGTTTCCCAAAATTATTTGTTACAAATAATCTGTAATAGTGAAAATATAAAGTTCTTCATGGGAGGAGCTGGAGCTTTTTCAAGCTGTAGTTATTTAAGGGGTCATTTGTAATTATGTAAATTCATGAAGTGAAAGTCTTTAGATCTTTCTTATTAACGGAGATGAAATAAAATTGTATAATTAGAGCTGTGCTAAACAATCAATGCACAGGAGTCTGGGAGGGACCACTAGCCATGTTTGTTGAATTAGTTTCTAAAATTTTAATTAAGATCTTAACACCATAGTAACTATTGTAATACCAATGAAATAGTTAATTGCTAAGCAATGCTATTTTGGCTCAATTTGTACATAAGTGTATTATGTTAAGAAATTCAATGAATCACTAGTATTGTTACAATGACCTTTGTTCCATATCTCTGCCATATTGAAACTATAACAAATAAAAACTGTCCATAAAGACACCCGTTATCATAATAGTATGAATGTGAATAATACAAATGTTTATTGAATAGTCTTACCACAGATATGGAATAGGGTTAGGCATTCCAAACTGTTAATTTGGATTCTTATTTATAATGCTGAAGTTAATGCTTAGATTTCGAAGTTGTTGCCACTCAACTAAGGTCTCATTTTGAATATGAGTGAGTTGTGACTCAAGTTTTAAAAATCTGAGAGTTGATTAATACTATTACACAGGATGCATCAACTTCTATTAGTGTAATTGTAAAAGAATAATTCATAAAACTAAATGTTTCTTATCTATTCAAACAACAATTTTCATAAGTTTATTATCCCCGAAGGGGTAGAGAGGTGCACATTATGGCACTTAATGTTACTATACAATGTAACACCCACTTTTCACTACATATGTTATGAGTCCTATGAAATATGGGATTTAGCCTATCGCCATATACCATATTCTAATGCACATTTCCAGACTCCGTGCTACTACTGAGAATTTCTTAAAAAAACCCAGTAATATTTTGCCCGACCCAGAGATCGAACCCAAGACCCCTTGCCCGTCAGTCACACTTGCGACCACTCAGCCAATGAGACTTTATATGTTTATCATAGTTTTTATATGCATATAAAAGTATTTATTATCAGGATTGCAAAGATACTATATAAAGACACTGGTAATATAAAGAGTATAGAATACACATGCAAAGTATTATTCCTAGTTACTATTTATTTAAGAGTTTTTGGGGAATACATGTTATATGGTTAGAAAATCAGAAATTACTTAGTGAAAGTATCATTACAGTGTTATCTTTAGTAAACACTAGCTTTTACCCATGGCTTTGCCCGCATATTCCTGTTTTATCCAATGGGACTATTTAATCGGAATAAAAAGTATCCTATTACCTAAGTCAGCCCATACCCTGCCTGTGTACCCAATTTCATCAAGATCTGTCCTTTAGTTTTAGGGTGATTGACAGACAAACATCCAAACAAAGAAACTTTCACATTTTATTATATTACTGTGATGTCATATAGTTGTTATAGTCACAATTATCATGAGTAAACTGAGAAATGTAAGCTGGTTAAATTGGCAGGCATTTGTCCTAAGTAGCTGCAAGTGGCAATTGCATTACAAAATTGCAAGGAGGGCCTTGCAACTATTATAAATATGGCTTAGTCATGATATCATTAATGCAACCTATACACAAACACAGCTAAGACTGTGAAGAATGATTGGAAATTTTCTTAATAGCCTAGTTTATAGGTCCATGAAATGCTAAATTGTTTTGTAAAACTTTTGTCACTTTTGTTTTGACAGATGAACCCATGTGAACACCCCATAGTAATATTGAAAGACGTGGCACACCAAGAACTGCGCCAGCTGCTTCAGTTTATGTACCGTGGTGAGGTCCACGTGCGTCGCCAAGAGTTGTCTGGCTTTCTTCATACTGCTGAGCTTCTACAAGTGAAGGGACTGACCGGGGGTCGGGAGGTAAGTCACACTCTACAGAAACCTGTATTTTATTTTGATGTTTTTATAGAGTAAGGAAGCCGATGTATGACCTGATGGTATGCAAAGGTGTTGGTGCGGGCCATGATGCGGAGCGAGGGGGACTTTGATGCCGTCTTCTCCTTTTGCGAAGCAGTCATGCTAGCTAAGGAGGAGAACTAGACCCGAGCGTACGACTCGTCGCGTTCCGCGTCCCAATAGGGCTGGTGCCGATACTGAGCCGCGGAGAACTTAACGGGTTACCGGGGCTGCGGTTCGAAGTGCATGAGTAGGAACGGCGTGGTTTTTAGTCAGTGTCTGACACTGCCTCTCGCCTCACCCAGGCGGGAGAAAAAAATGGATGATTTTTCCCCTTAAAAAAAAATGCGTGCAGCGCCGGTTTTCTACGAATCTATCGTAACATTCCGATAAACCTAAATTAGGTATTCTAATTGCATAGGTTTTGGGAACTTATGTAGGTTTATGGTTTCTATCTACAAATGGTGTAAACTGAAATTTAGTAAAAACTTGACTGTATAATAGCGGGTGTTGTTTAGCAATATTCTCTGTGCTTCTACTTAAAATTCCGAGTGATCCTAATGCTCAATAATACAAGGAAAGAATCGAAAAGAAATACTTGTCATCTGTAAATATTTGCTTTACAGTCTTTGTTGTAACGACAATAAGCTGTGTCTAGAATATTTGTGAACATAAATGAACAAATAACAACAGTACAAAGGTCAAGTTTCAGTAAAAATTAATTAGTGTTTCGTCGATGAGGACCATGAACTGTATGTTTCTGCATCTCATTAGTACAGGAAATCAGGGGTAAAAACCAGTGAAGCGTTTCATAAGGGGTGCAATTTGTTTTGTAATAAAACATCTCTATGTAACTTAATCCGGCTTTTCGGGGTGGCGTCTACCCACCCTACCTGTGAGAGGAGGCACCCTACCTGTCAGTGGTGTGGGTGCCGGTAGCTCAGCGGCCATATTGAAAACGAGGGTGTTATTATTCATATTTAGAGTTATGTTGTGAACTACGTCTGCGAAGAGCACAATGAACATTTATGAAGCATCATGTTTTATACAGCGTTTGATATGTTACTGGTACTCGTAACATGTTGAAAACTATTGCGAAATATTAAAAGACCATCTAATTACGATAGCTTTTCCTGAAGGAAAGGATTTACTTTGTGATATTCAACACGAGAAAACCGTGGTAATATTAAGGTTCCTTACCTGAAGAGTAAAAACGGTACCCTAATACTAAGGTTGAATTAACAACCAGCGACAGTCTATTGCCAAACTATGTGCCTCCTCTTATATGATAGCTTGTCATAGGCTCTACGCTTAGCAGGTCGGTTAGAGATCGCAAATTCTCTACGCAAAGTAGGTACTTAAAAATCAACCTATGCCAATTCAAAGGCAAAGCATTTATTTCAATTAAAGCAATATTAGGCACTTTTAGAACGTCAAAAATAGAATTGTCCGTGCGTCTGTGTGTCAGAGAAGCTAAGAACCTTAAATTCAAGATTGAAGGTCCTAATATTCCAAGTAATATTTTTGTTATTTTACCTCTTAAAATTGTAAGATAACATTTATTTTAACAAAAAACACAACATTAATGACTTTATTTTCATCTCTAAATGATGTCGAATAGTAGTCTGATTTGACTGTTGTCCGAGCCTTGCATAATAAAAATATATCTTAGTGATTTGTCAACTAGAGACTGATTTGTCATGTCAGCCCAACTGCCTAGTGTAAAATCTGACGTTACATCATTTTTAAATAGCATAGCAACCTAAAAATGTAGTAATCCTGCCTACTTTACAACTAAAACCTAAAAAATCATAAAACCGTGGAAATTAATATATTGAAATTAGTTGTTTAACATAACTGAAACTTGATCAACAAAACAAAATAAAAACGTACCAAAAATAAAACACAACATTGCAAAAATGTTCAGATAGTGCTTCTGCACCATCTGCGTCAATCTGTCAATGTGTTATCAATTAGTTCGCTCTTACTGTCACACCCGCGGGAAGAGTAGGAGTATTCTACTTTGTCATCAATACATGCCTCATTTCAAGGTGCTAGTTTAACAGGCGGATAATAATTTGGCATAATATTATCATCCATAAAACAACGTCAATTAAGCCAACAGAAATTAATCTAATATAATGTAATTACTTCCACAGAGAAGCGAGTCTCCGACTGGCATGGCAGAGGAGCCCCCGAAGCCTACGCCACTACAACAGGAGATAGCCGACCAGCCTGCCGATTGGAACCCCGTGGTGGAAGACACTACCTCCTCGGAGCCTCCACCAGAACCCACCGACACAGTCACCATCAAGGAGGAGGCTGCCCGGAGCCCACTGAAGAGGTAATAGAAACATGGACCATCCTTCATAAGTATTGATTTTGTCCTTACGATCTGCAATGTTTTAATTAATATGGTTGCTGTTGTATTACGTTTCAGATTATTGAAGAACACCCCAACCAAGAACAGCCACAGCACCAAGAAGAAGCCGCGCACCATCAAGGACTCGCCCACTCACCCCGAAAACACCGACTTCCCTTACGACGGGTATGTATCTGCACACCAATTGTCAAATCACATACTCCTGCTGACATTCAAATTATTATATTTTGATTAGGGGTTTAATTAACACTAAGCTTGTTCCACAATTACATTAGCTTGCTGCTGTAAGATTGCCGACTGCCAGGCTTTGCACACTGATGCACTTCATTACAGTGCTTCAACCAGTACCTATCATACAATCACATTGCGTTGAAATTATCACGCCATCAACGTAAAGTGGCCACTGGGTACTGATTCTTAAGTGCCTTTTAAAATATAGGTGTAAATGTTGGTAGCGTTATTCTAAACGCATTAAATATTGGCTTTCTAATTTATCGTCTCAAACACTCGTATTACGATTGAGTTTGGTGTTAGAAAGCAACACAGCATAATGTCAAACGTCAGTGCCGGATGTCTTTGTTTAAGCGGAAACCGTAATAAATTAAGCAGCATTACTTTGAGGAGTTAATACACCAAGGATTCAAAAATGTAACGGATAGTCTAAAGTATTGTAAAGCGCCGCGCCGGTCACCTGTAATGTAGCTTGCAATAAGGCATCATTAGCGCTTTAGAACTTACGTTACGTTGCGCGTTGCTTGCAGCGAACCGCTGATTGACTTCGACAACGACCTGTTTCACAGCGTGCTTGTGCTGCCCGAGTCTGCCAAGGAGTCTGGTAAGTCCTACATGCTTATACGCTCTGTTTGTCAAAACGATGCTTTCAATAATGCTTTCGATAAATCTGAGTTAGCCAAGGAAGTTGGGAGACGCTCGCAAACTTTGTAGAGGCTTAGCCATTGGATAGAACAAAATTTGTAAATATAATAGAAACACGTAATAGAGAATAACGGCATATGAATCGCAAGCATATGAATATCAATTTGAACGAAATAAAGATTTGTGTATTTTTTAGATGTATAAAATAAATTCCCAACAATAATGGTACTGTGTGCGGTATGTTCACAATAAGCAATAACTACACTGCAAGTATTCATAATATTTGACATTACCACTTGTTGCCATGTAGATGCCTTACTATGACCAAGCTTACTATTGTGAATATTATTGTATTAACAATTGTTAATACTTTAAAACACATGGAGTTTGCACAATAACATAGTTCCTTTGGTTTTTATTGTCACCTGACAATGACATGAAAAGATCATGCATTTTATAACACAAACAGTTGGCTGACTATTGAATTTATCATGTCAATCGTTATTTGGAAATTCATTTAGTTCTCTGAGTTAAATGGATTAATGGAGTCTCAGAGGAATTTAAGGAAATTAATATTTACTTTCGACGTCTTAAGAATTGTTAAAAATGTTTTCTGTTCTTTAATTAGAAATGTTGACGGTTAAAGCGAACTAGTATTATAACACTCGTTGTTTTACAAGTACAATGGTCTGATGGTACCTTCCTAAGTTCCTACTGACTCGCCCACAGCAGGTTGGAACTGCAAGACGGGGGGCGTAAAGTGTCCGTCGTGCCACCGGTACTTCGCGAACCGGTACAACCTGAAGGTGCACATTCGAGACAAGCACGACACTCGCGAGGGCACGCTGCAGTGCGACATCTGCCAGAAGCGCATGCGCAACCCATCGTGTCTGCGCGTGCATATGTACCATCATCGCAAGCAGGCCGCCTACCTCGCGCAGCTGAGCACGCAGGGAGAACCCATGAAGCAAGTGTCACATCTCTCTCTCTCTATCTCTCACACTGACACACACACACACACGCGTTCGACACCATGACGTCATCCTTTAAGTCATTACATTAAGGAAAATATCAATCACATACCTTCATCATTATTTGCGGTTAAATACAAAAATACTGTATTTACTTGCACCATTGAAAATTATTGTATTCAATTCGGTTCGATTGTTGACATTAGTAACTCTACGTAATCCTATAATCCGAATACCAATTCAATGTATATTGTAAGCAGGTGTTATTTCCTTTGAGTTTTAAAGATACTGCTGCTTTCTCATACATATTTATTTAGTTACATAAAGAACTTACGGCGTTAATATAAACAACGTAGGTACAAGTGAGCTGATTACATACCCCCAACCCCCATTACACTCATACACTCGTACATATTTTTAATGTAAACACAACATTGTCCTAGTATCACCTGTGACACATTTCCAAATATTAAGCAAATGTACCTAGGATAGTGTTTAATTGTTTATTTAAACCATTCCAGGATGCAGAACATGGTCGGTGGAGGCAAGTGGCGCTCCGACTCATCCATGAGCAGCGGAGACTTCAAGGATGTCGATAAGTGAGTACTTTTATAAATTATAGGCATATTTTGAAGAGTAAGTACACAATGAGAACAAGACCATGTATAACATTGCGGAATTATGTTGCTCCAGATTTTAGAGACGTTCTGAGTCCATTGTTAATGAGTCCTCTGGGTTGAGATGTTCCCTCAGCCAAGGTTTGTGTAAGGTTTGGACTGTCTCCTGCCATAAGGTGCCTTTATAGACATACAATAAATACACATGTCCATTTATTTTGCTAATATAGTTTTATGAGCAATTAGGTCACAAATTCCTAGAAAATTGTAGAAAACTTCAATAAGTGTTGAATGAGTAGGTGGGTACACTAGTTAGTACCCCTTTTTTGTCAGAAATTTCACCATATTTGTTATACCTGTCTGATGTATGAACAATGCTATAAAATGCCTAAAAATATTGTGCCTCTATAAGAGTAAAACTGATACTTTAACTGGATGGTGTGAATTGAACAATATGTTAGCTAAGAAATAAAGAAAATGAAAGATCTTCTTTCCAAGTATCTCCAGACTATATGGTTCACTCGATTTCAAATACAAAAAGGTCATACCCTTTCAAGCGACTACTTGAATCTTATTTTTGTATATTATAAACATGTTTGATTGCTGTGCAGCGTAAATTAACTAAATTTTGAATAGATGTTTTATTGTTCTTAGTCTATTAACTTATGGAACTTAGGAATAGTTTTGTTCTAATTGAGACATAGACTATAGACAAATAAGGAAGCTTAGCCTTAGCCAGGATCTTACAGATTCGTTACATCATCTAACGATTAGATAATACAACTAGTTTCGAAAACTGGTACAATGATATAGTTTCAAAGTGTCACTTTACATTCTAAATAATTACATCTAAAAATTCCATACGACTACAACGAGAATGGATCTTTATCGAAAAACGGAGGTCGTTTATTAATTTGGTCGTAAATAGGCTTGTTCGAAATAGTCACCTATAGCGTGATGTCTTTGTTGTTTGTATCTCATGACAGTTATTTAGTATTAACATGGAAGTGCTGTGCACTTGCTTGCGTGTGACGATGCCCAAATTTGCGATGTGTTATTTTTCTTCTATACACTACCCTGCGAATTACTAACTAATGCCGCTATACACTGTTCCATAATCTCTAAAATATTGTCTTTGCTGAGCAAAGTTAGTTGTTAAGTATAATGTCGCTAACATGATTGTCACAAATAGTACCTAAGTAAGTTCTGTTGCTTATCCCTAGCAAATAAAGTTGCACTACAGAAACAAAGTTAGTTGCAATTTCTTGTGAACTAGCCAACTATGTACATAGCTAGCTATGTTAGTAGCTATATAAAATTTTATATAAATAGAAGATAGTATATAAGTACCCGAATATTATACTACATACATACATAACATCACGCCTTTTATCCCCGAAAGGGTACGCAGAGGTAGACATTACGGCACTTAATGCCACTGTATAATGTAGCACCCACTTTTCACTATTTATGTTATGAGTCCGGATTGGCGATATATTAAAAAAAGGGCCAAATTAAAAGTACTAAGGGTACCGACGAGCATGCATGAAAATATTGATGACTGTTGATGAACCGAAAGAAGTATGTAGGAATCGTAGTAATTGGCGTTCCCTAGTCTCTGCCTACCCCCATGGGAGACAGGCGTGAAGTTATGTATGTATTTATGTTATGAGTCCCATGTAATAGGAGGTGAACCTATTGCCATAAACCGGGTACATTTCTAGTCTCCGCCCTACTACTGAGATTTTTTTATAAACCCAGTAATACTTTGCCCGACCCGGGAATCGAACCCGAGACCCCTTGTCCGGCAGTCGCACTTACGACCACTCTGCCAGCGAGCCAGTCCTATAATACTAATCTCATGGAAAGCTTATAAATAAGCAAATGAAATAGTTTGCCGATACTAATATTATCGCTTGCGGTATGCGTTAATGTGCTCCAAGTTACACTGAATTCCATTTTTCAAACATAGTACACACTAACATGCTAAGCGATTAAAGAAATATTTGTAAACTTGTTTTGCTACCATTTATCACATCTTTTACAAGGTACAAAGTACTTTGGATGATTGTCCCACAGGTTTAATTTAAGTGTAAATACTGATTACTGATTTATTATATGAATGCATCATATAAATATGTATAAGTTACCGATACTATTTGTACATAACTATAAACAGCTTAATATACATAATATACATAGGTATGTGTTCATACAAAATTACATTAGTAGATCTACTTTATCTACTTGGGTTTTGATATAATTTTGTTTAGGACTTACTGAACTGCCATCTAAACAATCAGTGGGTAGGCAATACAATGAGTAATGTTTACTTTAACATTTTTGAATTGTTTTTTTTTAAATCAATTTAACCCTAACTTTGACTGGGAGAGAATGGCATGATACTAAGTTCACCTTATGTTCCATTATTTATCATATAATGTGCATTAAAGCTTAATTAAATAAAGTAACGCGCCCCGACTCAAGCACGATGGTACGTTATGCGCGTCTACCCTTTGGCGAATGTTTTATTAATTATGCATTCTATAGAATACTACTTATTGCTTGGCAATAGATAATTTAATGGCGAATTTTATAGCATCTACATTAGAATATCTTATATTTTTGAAGCAATGTACCTTAACATTTTGATAGTTTATTATGAAATGATCTTCAGTATATATATATATAATTATAATAAGAACTGTGTGATCATGATCATAACTTTCATATGGGTAAAATTTTCATATGAAAGTACATTCAGACATCTAGGAATGATTCATTGACGGAATTTTTATGTTATCAGTGTAGCCACAATTAATCAGTTCTCGTTATTCTTCGTTAGTTCATTCATCATTTTATGTGTTTGTTATTATTACTCCAACTATCCAATGAAGGCAAACACCATCGAAATATATTCCAAAGCTTGCATGACGAGAATATGCAAAGATTACCTTAAATACTGTATCATTAATCTAATGACATGTATTGCATTTCGTTTAATGTCTGTCGTTAACTGTTGTTGGCTTAAGCCATTTATTTAGAATTATCTAATTATCAGCAAGGTCACTGTAGGTTTCAACTACTCGGTTACTTTATGGCAACATTACGTTTTTAGTTTCATATAAAAATACTTACTCCCGCGCGTTTTCACCCGCTTTGCTCGGATCCTATAGATCGTAGCGTGGTATTTTATAGCTTAAATGATAGTTCATTTATCTTACAGCAACACAAAAATAATTATTCAAATTGAACCAGTAATTATGGAGATTAGCACTTTCAAACAAACAAAGAAAGTAGTATAGGATAGGAGTATGAGATCTAAGATAATATCTAGTTATATAAGCTATATAAGCTAGTTATATAAGCTATATAAGCTAGTTATATAAGCTAAGTATAAACACGGTTAATGGCTTTATATTCGCATGCAGGGGAGGTAATTTAATGCAGGAGTAGGAACGAGGTGATTTTTAGTCAGTAAGAGTCTGACACTCCCTCCCGCTTTACACGGGCGGGTGAAGTCATTGCATGATATTCCCCCTTCAAAAAAATGGAGAGGTTGCTGGTTTAACAACCCTAGGTTTGAAAACCTTCAGAACAAGCGCACTACATTCTAACATAGGCAGCTTATATGGAACTTAGAATTCCTGTGATGCTGCCGCCTATGATAGCCATAGGCGGTGTGGATCACTCCCTATCATGATCAGACGATCCGTCAGCTGTTTTCTTTTTTCTGGGATAGCAATCGGCGCGGCCCACAGACACCCGCAATGTGTATTAGAAATTGGGGAGGTAAGGAATTGAGCCTATCGTAACCGATGTTGTAAATGCAATCCCATGACTTGCTACAAATGAGGAACATTCATCGACATGCATGAAGCGCGTACTCTCTAAGCTTCTTACAACATAATTATTGATTCATCATAAACAATAAGTTGGTTTGAGTTCTGTAATATTTGTGATAGCGTTTTATATGTATCTTGCTTAAGTATCTACGATTTTACAAGCATTTATTTGCTTGCAATGCATGTATATACAGGGTGTCCCTGAAGTCGACGATCGATTGACACCAGGTGATTGGCAAGATTCCAACAGTCGTCAGAAAAATATATCAAATCTTATGTATCCACAAAAATGTACACCCGTGCCAGTGTTTTCACTCTTACTGCTACAATTCTTTATGTTTTCGTCTGTACTTTTGCTTACGTTATCCTGAATAGAGCTCCAGTATTATGAAATCATAAATTCTGAGGTAACTGCTTTAGTTTTTTGACGAATCAAGTGTTCTTAGTAAAATGATTACGTTACTTTAAGTGACTGTATGGTAAAAATATTGTACTGAGCTAGTAGTGACAAATTTCACTAAAGTTGGCGCATTTTATAAGAATTCTATAATGGTATACCACTCCCCGCATTAACATTCGTATCCACTAGGTAACACTTTGCACGCGACATGACATCATGTTGGAACTTCTCGAGGATCTCGTATTAAGAACCACATCGTCTGTCTACTTATAATTTCGCTAGCAGCATTCGTCGGCAATATTGTCGCTAGAGTAACAAGTTCCCGCATCACGTCTCTAAAGAATGCTTGATGTTGTACACATAAGTCATGGTCATTTCAAAACTATATGACTTAGACTTTTTATATTTTTCTGATAACTCTTCGAACCTTACCGACCACCTGGTGCCAAATTTAGTCTGTCGGTCGGTCCTCTAGCTATATCCTCGTTCCAAATTTTAAAAGAACGAGCTATCAATAGCTGGTCCTAACTTGCAATTACGAAACCTTCCGAAACAGCTGTGCCTGGTAAGCATCTGCGTTAGGTGTAAAGTGAGGACTCTGTAGCGTTTTTAGGGGATCGGCCAGAAGCGGTGGCACCTTGTTTGCTACATTGTCTCCATAATATCGCACTGGAGCACATCCGGCCACGCATTGATCGGGCGCATTAACGCGCTCATGTGGAAAACACGTGCTATCACTGTCGCCTCCAAATCCCATGGCGATGATCCAGCAAGGAAGTTTTGCCATCCTGGAGATTCTAGACTCAGACTAGTAGAGCACCCTCGAGTCCCAGCTACCAGTTGCTCTCAACATTCGGTTTGCACCCTTTATTTTGATTAGGGGATATTATCAAATGTCGTTTCCCGCCCTGAGCGAGGTGAGAGGGACTGTCAGACTCAGGCTAACTAAAAACCACTCCGTTTCAGTTCCTGCTTTGAGTTAGAACCTCTGCGGTTCTCTGCAGTGGACCTCATATGGTCTGATGGATCTTGGTGGTGTTCTGGTTTCCGTCAGGCAGCGAGCTGCCCTTGCTCGCCTTGCGGTGCCGGAGATCGACCGGGTTTCGGTACTGGTTTCGCCCCAGTGGCGGGCCTCAGCGCATGAAGTAAAGACGCGCGAGCAACTTCATCTGTAGATCCTATGACGGTAATTTCGGCGAGTTGGCACGCCGTCTCCCGGATATCGTTACATACCCAAGCCATGCCGTAGAGGGCAAAAAACGCACGATCTCCGAATAAATCTTCCAGCAGAAGGCGTTTGGCTTTCCTAAGTTGGGTAGGCTTAAGCGCAACCCCCGACGGTTTCAACTTATGAGCCAAGCGTCAGAAAGGGGTTCTCTAAGTTCCATCGACTGTTGAGTTCTGAGTCTCGATAGTACATTATCGTCGACTCGACGCCGATGGCAACCCCTCCTGCCATTATTTGAGACTCATTCGGAGGAGCTGCGTTCCCAAGACCATAAAAACACATAGCGTCGAACTTTTAAAGCGCCACCTCGACTCCCAGCTGCTGAATCTATGCAACGACCGTCGCAATGGCTCTTGTCATCAAATGGCCGACGCCAAGTATAACCTCCATTGAACATTACCGTATCGTCAGCGTAACAGACTAACCGGTTTACACCCTGTGGATTCATGCAACCAATCCAACGGTGCAGTCGATTTTATTTTTCAATAACCCATCAGGACTATCTTTTCCTGTGTAAGATCTGGAAGGACCTGTTTATGATCAACTCTTTATTTCTTAGGAATTCATACAATTTTTTACGTCCAGGAATCGATCTCGCGCCTGCCCAGGCTCTGTCTCAACTGTGCATTCAAACCTGTTGACTATTGTACAAAATAATGATAATCATGCCAAAAAGTTCTCTAGAATTAATGTCACTGAGCAAAAGAACGGTAGGCCTCTTCTCACACGGCCCCAGCCTCCGCGGGATACACTCTGGGCGTCAGAGATCGCGCGTCGATCTCCGGCCACCGTAAGTCGGGTCTGTGGACGACGAGCAAAGGTAGCTCGCCGCCTGACCAGAACCAGACCGCTGTATACGGCACGTCGCCTTCCACGCGCACCTCAAAGAGCCATCAGACCACCACAGATGGGACTCAGTAGGGCTAATGCCCGATACGGAGCCGCGGAAGGCCTAACGGGTTGCCGGGGCTCCGGATTGAAGAGCAGGAGTAGCAACAGGGTGGTTTTTAGTCAGTAAGAGTCTGACACTCCCTCTGACCTAACCCAAGGCGGGAGAAGTCATTGGATGATTTTCCCCCTCAAAATAGGCTAATAATACTATAGTACATTATTTAACCGGGGACTGTCCTTGGGTGCATTTCCATAGTGCATACAGGGATAGTCGCCGGTTTGTGTGTCTATTACATTTAGATTAAAGTTGTCTAAAGGGCAATTGCGCAGTTGGCTTTAGCCCCTCGTATGCCTCCCAAATGACCGGGACCCTGTGGGCCCGTGACTGGTAAATACATACTATAGTACTATAGTATTATTTTGATCGTAAAGTTCAGCCGGCGTTTGTAATGTATGCAAAAATAAAGAAATTATTTGTGACGTCACATTTAAAACTTACGAAAATAACATTGTTTCTGTGTAATATAGTGTATTCTTACACATACAGACCTTCCTCTTCAATCACTCTATCTAATAAAAATCTGTTGCGTAGTTTTAAATATCTAGTGTGTAATACAAGTGTACTCATAAAGTCTGACAGCGAAAAGCGGTTATATACATATAACTAATACACATTTAAAAAAAATGCGAAACAAACTAATTTTGCTCCAGAACATAGCTTAGAATGAAATAAAGAATAAATGAGCTTTCATATCTCTGATACAATTACACTTTCTGTTTGTTTGAACGCGTTAATCTCCAGAACTACTGGTCGCAATTGTTTTTTTTATTTGTTTTATATTTGATACTTTACTATCGAGAAAGGTTTTAGGCTCCTACCACCTTATACTGCAGCAGTCGCACTAGATACTAATCGTGGCAGTCATTCTCAAGTATCTACAATTGAACCGTGTTTATTGACAAAATTGAGGTCAAGCAAAGATGCATAGACATTGTTTGTACCACATACAGGCCAAATTCCCACAAAGTTGAATTTTTCATTTGTTTGACCTTGCAATGTAACAGCAAGGAGTCCCTTAATAACCCATATTTTTTCCTACTTGTTGACAGTTTCTCACCTGGAACTACTCCGGAATCGAACAAGGCGTTCCTCGCGCAACTTGGGCAAAACGAGGTGATGAGGCAAGCGTAAGTAGTACTCCGCTCTATAATACATGATACCAGAGTTTCTATATTGGGTTAGCTGGGGAGCAATTACTCACGCTATATTACACCTATTAGTCCGATCATTAAGAAGGAAATATGTAGATCACCTGGAATATTTTCCAGGTGTGTTGAAAATCGGCAATTTTGCAGATCTTGATGTGCTCTTTCTGTTTTCTATTTTGCACCTTTGTACTTTGTACATGCGAACAAAATTAGGTCGTAGATCGATTCCAGCGATCTGATGATTGACCTGAAAGACAGTCTAGGGAACTCCTTGAGAATTTATAGCAATAACTTTGTGTTTGAATTATTTGTATAGATGAGAACTTTACACCTAAGTAGGGTGTGGTTATTATAATGGTGAGTTCGCATTATAGCTTAGGGAACTCCTTAATGGTAGCTGTACGGTTTCACCACCGCACATTTATCTGTTTACGCGGCAACCTATTACAGGCTAACGACGCGCGTACAATTTAGCGTAATAAAACAACGTGAATTACGTTAAATATAGTCAACTTAAAACTTAGTAGCTATCAACAACTGAGAGAAATAATCGCCTTTCATTCTTTTTGTAATTTAATTGCAATAAACTAACTACTTAGTGCATCTGGGTGAAACTTGTTTCTCTACACTACATCAACTTCATCTTCACTACAAATCAATGTACTGAGTTAACTACTACAGCTCGTACAGTAGCTACCTGATGTTTGGACATGATTACTTTGCATTTATGACAACTGTGCATTCATGTGGGTTATAAGTAGTATAATAGGTCTATATAGCGTCGCATTAAACTGTAAAAAGAAAAAAGATAAAACAGCGTTTTAAAATCGACTTCCAGAACCAAAAACAAAAAGTAAAAATTATTGTCATTAGTCATTTAAGCAATACATTTTATTGCTTCAATTTTATTGTATGCAACAGGCATTGCATCATGTTAATGGAGCTTTACTGAGTACCCATCCACTGATACTTTTAATATATAATAAGTTAAAAGTCGGTGCCACAAGCCCATATCAAAATATAACTTAATGGTCATAGGAATAATCTGTAAATGAAAATAAAGACAGGTTATGCATGATAATTCGAGTTATAAAGAGTCGAGATGAAAGTTTCTTTTACATTTTATATTCAAAGTAAAAGCATTTATTTCAATCAAACCACAATTTGGTACCTACTTGTGAAACGTCAAAAAATACAAAATAAATAATAGTCTGTCAGTTGTCTGTCAGTGAAGCTAGGTGCTCATTCCAAAATGTAGATTCGAATGGAGAAGAACCAGCAAGAAACTCCATTCATTACTCTTTAAAAAACAATATGGTTAACAATCTCTGATACATTATCCAATATTGTACGTATATGTTAGAATAATGCAAAGACACGCTTGATATACTCGCATGTAATAATTTGTAATACTAGAATATAATAATTACAGTTTCTCTACGTCGACACCGGAGGCGAAGTGCGCCCCCGAGGCGAACAACGTGTCCAGCGGCCCCGAGTCGGGCAAGCTTCCTGAATCCGTGGTACCCAAAACGGAAGCTGATTCTGAAACTGTATGATGTCCAATAAACAGGCGTCCTCTCACCTACGACTACGTGGCTCCCGACCGGCTGTACTCTATCTTCACCGAACAATCGTACTGGACCAAAAACCTCATCTTCAAAGTGGGGCGCAAGAAGAGGAAGCGCAACACCGCTATCAGGATCCCAAGTGGGCCCCTCCGGCGCTCAGAGCGCCTCCGTCGCAAACAACTATCTGAGATTTAATTTGTGATTCATGATTGGATACTCTGCTTTTTACTTATTTTTTAGTATTACACACTGTACCTCAAGATTTTATGTAGAGTGCTCCTTGATGTTCTTTTGTAAAACATTATTATTTGCGAATGTTTAACAAACTTTTTGATGATATTTGGCAATACATAACAAAACTTAGCTTCTCGTAATTATATCAAATGGACATCAGGGAACCTTTGAAATTCTCAGACTCTTGTCTTATTAATTATACGCGTTTTTATATGAAACATTCCAATACACAAATTCCAAAGACTGAAACAATATACATTGCATTATTTTATGTAGTATTTCAAAAGCGCAGGATGATTTTTTATTATTATAGTATTGCGCGCGCGGTTAGTTGCAATTTGTCTGTAATCTCATTTATTCGGCAATATGTTAGATTTAAGACTGGAATTGATGCCATTCTTCTTATATTCTCTATAATCTATTATACTCTTAACTTAATAAGTATTACGTAAGGACTTTAGACGATTTTATACTCTGTACTTCTACGATTTTGGAAATTGGATCTACACGTAGCTTAGGTTAGTGTGTATTTATCGCGGTAATTGAACCACATCCTGCGCTTTTATAAAAAACGAGATTATTAACGTGGCTTGTATTCTATAGTCCAGGCTTTTACTGCGGAGATATGACAAGCATAATGTATTCTGTGGTAAAAGAATGGACCATAGATGATTTTCATAATAAAAAATAGACAAGTACAAGTTATTTTAGACAGCTAGACCGACACAGATTAGAATATATTTATAGAACAAAGTAAAGTTGCCATTCCGCGTCGAAGTGTACAAAAGGAAACATTTTCGTTATTGACAACATGATCACCACCTCGGGTGATGTGGTGGCCGTATAAAGCATAACCTCACAGTACAAAATACGTTATCGTATATTAATCATCTATGTATGCTTTACTTAGACTTTAAGTTATTTTAAGTTTCTAAATTAAGTCCCCGTAACGTGAACAATTTATACGTACAACATAGGTTTAACGATGTATACATTTTTTTATATTATACAAGGGTTGTTTAGGTGAATTAAGAATATGAAATTATACCTCAATATTTGAAGCGACTGTTTGTGTAAGATATGTTATCCACTTCGGTTCACCGTTGGAAACAGAAAGTTGGCTCTCGTTCACCAAAACTTATCTCATACTTGTTTATTATTAGTTTATATATTTTGTACATTCCAGGCAAACATTTACAAAGCCCCGGTTGATGTATGTGTGGTTCAGGAACGGGAGCGTCTAACGGCTGGTCCGAGTGTCTGCTCGGAGACAGATTACATTCCAATATAATATGATAAGGTATTAAATTTTCGTCAAATTGTGACCGGAAGATATCGCACGGGTCCGACAATGTGTCTGCAATAATGTGGTTACTCGTGTTCACGTTTGTCTGGTCAGGCTTTAAAGCGCGAATAGCTTTAACGTTTTAAGAATCGTCCCATCGTAATGAAGTCGAAATGTATTGTAGTCATTAGCTCTCTTATTGTAACGAGGTGAACCTTGGATCGGCGCCATCCGGCGGAATGTGTCGGCCGCATTTTTGTATATTTTTGTACGAACACGCCTCGATCCGCATCACTTCGAAAGAAAATGTTAAGAACAAGTACGTCCAATAATCGGTGTATTTTATAAAGGTTTGGGTTTCTAACCATTAAATATAAGGGGTAATGTGACTAACACTTATGATATTGAAAAAAATCTCTTTACATTCCAGTAGGTATAAGCGTGCATAATCTTAAAAAAAATAGAAACTTTTCTAACGTTATAATATTATTATATTTATGACATAAGTACGTAGCGTTGTAAGTTTATGAAAGAGATTATTAAGAGGTACGAGTTAAGAACATTCCATAGTAATGATAGCTCTTGTAGATTTTTAGCATTTATATTGATTTATCAAGTGTTTTTACCAAATTATTTTTATACCAATGCTATTTACATTATAGTATATGTCGAGTATATAGGGGTGACTGCAAGGCCTCTGTTACGGTTACGTTATGCTCACAATATTTTGATTTATTTGAAGCGAAATGTTTTAAAGGCAGTAGTGACGCCACTTTTACGAGAAGTAGCTTCTATTCCCCCGAACAATGCACAATGTGTGAGGCTGCTATTGACAATGTTGAGTGAGCCGACACAGTCAGGACTAAGGCAGTTCAGCCGGCAGCTAGAGTGGCCCAGTGGCCACAGTGCGTACCAGTGTACGTAGCAAACCATAAAGCCTAATGTTCGCTACTGCCCTCAAAACATAGCCTGTAGAGCCCGCTCATGTTTTTAGTACTCGATGAAAGCGCTCAGATTATATTTTTACTCTTTATTCTATGTAATACTCAGTTTACTTTGTTGCCAAATATAATACTGTCATCAGTATAATATCAAGTCAGATGCGAGGTAGCCTCAACGATTTTGTCTTTGTATCAATGCAGTGTTGCAGTAGTGTACGCAATGCTCCGGTAGTCGTGTAACGGCTACAACGTGTCAGAGCAGGAGGGGAGGAGGCGGCCTCGAATATAATGGAATCATATATTACATTCCACAGTAATAGATTAAGAAGCGATTGTCGCACATATATCGACTAATATACTTTTATATTGACGTGTCAGTAGTGTTTCTGTAATCTTTAACGTATCTACTCTGTATTCTAAGGTTTTCTACTGTGTGCTCAAATAATCATGATAAAGTACAGATGTATGTGTATCCATGACAGAATTAGCTTTAAGATTACTTTAGTCAATTTTGAATTTCAAATTTAGTTGTTTTGTATTGGCAGGGAAACGGTTTTATTGACGCGAGTTTCATCCTTGTGGCACGTAGCTACTGTACGATAATTTAGATTGCCATTCAGTAAAATTTCAGCTTTTCTTGTGAACATAAAAAAAATATGTAAATGTGTGTAGAAATGGTCCAAAACGGTAATGTGGGACTGCGTATTTTTTGTATGTTTAAACCATTTTTATTATCAAATAATATATATTTTTATTATCAAATAAATGTAATGAGGTTCTAATGACAAAATTGAATGTTTCCCTGTGAAAACAATATTACAAGGATTGTGCATCACAATATAGTACGTAGTAATTTAGAATTACCTGGGCTGACCTGTCAGGCCAAGCGAACGTATCGGTGTATTGAGCAAACAAGTTGAGGGAAATAAATTTGAAATTCAAAATAACTAAAAGTGGAAAGTTGTTCGTTCACAATGATGACTCAGCCATATGACATGTTTTAGGCAACTAATAAATCGTATTAATATCAAACTGTCCGTCTTAACATTTATAATAATATAATATGAATAAGTATTTTACGACGCAAAATAACCAATAGAAGGATATCAGTAGGTATAGGTGTAGTTTTCAACTCTTTAAAGGAACCTGTCGCTGTGTAAGACAGGTATTTTGAAATTTCCATTAGTAGTTTTTTATATATCATATACATACTTCTTGATATACTTAGTAGACTTTTTAAACATTATATATCGTATGTGTATATTTTGCATTAAAATATTACGGTATGACAATAAATTGTCCGATAAATATTGGCCAGTATTCTTTGAGACTAGGATGTAGTAATGACGTGCTTGGGACAAGCAGGCTTGCGTTATAGCAGCAGTTTTACTGTGAAGGCAACTCGCGGTTTGATGTTGACGAAAGTGTGACTTTATGTCGATGTACAGTTGTATTGTAGGTACGCAACAACGAAGCAGTGATAATTGTGTATTCGTCCGGAAGAGATACAATCTCGTTTTGAAGGCTGCTACTGCACGAATTGTGATGGATCCTTGTCTCAGTACATAGTGTACGTAATCGAATAAAAAACGAAAAAGACTAAATTCCAACAATGCTTTGGTTTTTTTTTGAGATTGGCTTTGTAATAGTTTTACAACAACGTATATTATTCAAAATTTTTCGAAAAATATTGATCACATTTGCTCAATATATTTTACAACTTATATAAGTCTTATCGAATTTATAACACTTGTATCGAATTTACGATTGAAATATTTAATCAATTTACATGGTAGCGTGCTGACTATGTCGAAATATAAATGCTATTATGCATTTACTACGAATCTCGTATATTTATGTAAACATTTGTGACACAATTTTGAACAACACGTACGTGAATAAGAAACTTTGGTATTGTTTTACCATGCGAACTATTTGGTAATTAACTTTTTATTCCAATAGTTTGAATAACCCCTAAGGCAGACGTATCGAATGTAATATGCAAAAATGAAAAAAATATGTAATTAACCGAAATTTGATTCACAATAGCAATGCTACCTCTTTAATATATTTTGTACAACGAAGATGATTTTGATTTATATAAATTGTCTTAAGCTCTCTAAGTTGTGATGATATTTATTTATAAGATTAATTTCAGCTGATGTTTATTGTTAACATGTGTGTTAATGTCGATGTTGTTATGTTTCTGCTACCGCTTGCTTTTACTTTATGTTGAACGGGTGTGATTCAATAATAAGATACGTTGTTGGCAGAAAGTAAATATCGACATTGATATCAGTACTTGATTTAGTAACAGGAAAGTGTTGGTTGCCCAAAAACACGTATTTTTTATTTAAATTATTTAATGGAAGTGTTAGTTGCCCAAAAACTTGCATTGCTTTGTTTCGTAACGATGGTGCCCCCTCTTGGGTAATCATTAACTTTCTAACGATAATAAATTAAAAGGTGCTGTTACATAATGTGCTAATTTCAAGCATGAAAACATACTTCATTTGAGCAATTGTCACTTAGCAGCATGTGTGACAGAATGCTGCTCAAAATGAACATACTCGTTTCGGGCATGCTTGTGAATCGACAGGCGTTTGATCTTTGAACACGCTCAATATAACGCTTATTAGCAAGTTTATTAGAGCATTTGTAACAGCACCTTAAACTGTCAAACACCGCGAGGACTCCGGTGACCGCAACCTATTGTTCTTTAATTGTGCCTATTATGACGGTACTCAAAGGGTTAAGTCGTTATTTTTGTTGTTGTTGCTTATTTAGGGTTCTGTACCCAAAGCGTAATTCAAATATTTAGGAACACCTTAATATCGCGAAAAGAGATTACATCGTCTTGAATTTGGTAGTGCCACGCAAACTTAACATGCATACAGAATATCAGCTTAATCGGTTTAAGGTATCTACTTTAAAAGTTTATTTGAATAAGTGTTTGTACAATTACTTACCTCGAAGGTGCTCCCATACAACAAGCGTGCTTTATTTGCCGCTTTTTTTTTCTTAAATCCAATCAGTGGTACAGGTCCCTTCGTGCGCGTCTGACTCGCATTTCGCTGGTTTTCTCCCACCACAAAACTTGTAATAGTCTGTCTGATAGATAATCATGTACAGTAAAATGTCTCGATTTAGTGTATTTTCACTAAAGCAAGGAAGTTTTTGGGTCTCTTGGTGTTTTTATATGAGCCGAACATTTTATATGTATATATGGGTCGACATGACATTTGTGCTCTGTTTATACTCAAATACCTTTTTTTATATTTTTATATTTAGCTTTACTGAGATAATAAATTATAATTTTCTATGAATGTTGTTTAATTTCGTATTTACAGCTTAATATACCCCTATCTATTAGTTAAATGCCACTGCATTAATCTTAGCGTGATGTTTTATAGCCTTCCTCGGTAAATGGACTATCCAAGACAAAAAAAAATTCACATCGGAGTAGTAGTTCCTGAGATTAGCTCCTAACAAACAAACAGACAAACTGTTCAGTTCTTTATACAGAATGACTCGACGTACCTATTCAGCCCGGGAGGTGATAAATGGATAAATAACCAATTTTCTACAAAATTAGCTCTAAAATTCCTAGTCCCAAAGTGTGTAGTCTCCGAGATATTCAATAATTTTGTTGAATATATAGTTTTTAATTTTCAATAACTAATTACAAAACAAATAAATAAAAAACTATGTACTGCTTTGATTTAAGTGGTTTAATATTTATCAATACCAATACATCGATAAACAGTTATTAGTATTAATAATACTGGAAAAATATCATTTGGTTTAAAATAGCAAGTAAATTAGTATCAAATTTTGTTTTGAGTCACTAATTTGGACAATAGAAAACTAGATTTAGTTTAAAAAAATCATTTACATTAAGTAAAATAAAAATATTAGAAAGACTTTCTTGGTTTATTAGCTACCCATAACATTAAATAATTTATATTTTTTTAAAATATTAAATGTAACTTGATGAAAGTAAAGTGTAAAGAAAAACGGACAATTTTAAAAAACGATCTCCCTACTATGAGTACATGCACGCTTCCTTATTAAGTATCTGTGACAGTAATTCTTGACCTGAATGTCCGTCTTATTTCCTCAGGCGCTTCAATTATAAGTCGTATAAGATCCATGCTTTCCAAATTATGGACGGATGAGAGCAATTCGAGTTCTCATAGTGTTAGGAACAGCTCTAGACCCAAGAGCTAAACTGACGACTCTTTACAGTCGTAGGTAATATTGACTAGCAAAATCAGTCAAAAGTACTTTTATCCGTACACTTTAGCCGCGGAGGTCTTAACGGGTTGCCGGGGCTCGAAGGGCAGGAGTAGGAACCGGTTTAGCCAGTAAGAGTCTGACACTCCCTCTCGCCTCACCCAGGCGGAAGAAGACATTCGATAACTTTCCCCCCTTAAAAAAATACTTACACTTTAGTTCATAATACCTACTTCAGATTACAATAAAGGTCAAAGTTACTTTTGCCGAATAAAGCTGGTTATAAGTACTTTGCATAGATATAATTATTTCTGTGGTACTTTGTCTGGTTAAGAGTTTTGACTTCAAACTATAATAATCTTCAAAAACTTAAAGTCAGTTACAACAACTGGAACAACGGCGTTTCGACTGATTGCTTTTTTGGATGGTCTGCAGTCGACCTGATTATGGAGCCGATAGACAGTCGAGAGAACTCTAAACTAAAAAGCAAAAAATAACTATCAGTAGTACTGATAGAAGTCGGTGCCATACGTTCTATACAAAAGTGTGTGTCCGACGATAAAATAGATCGTGGAAAACCAGCAAAAGTTATATACCTAGTTATATTTATAGATGCCAATTTCAATTTGCTACAACGTGGGTACGTTTTGACAACTTGTTCTTTTTCTACACATATTCCCAAAACAGGTAAAAACGGTCAGGGACTTTGCAAGTACCTACCCCCCACTATAAGAAAGTCTTGCCATGGTTCATGTCAAGCACCATACATAACGAAAATGTCCAAGGGGTTATCACTGAACTTGTGCAATGTTGGAAACTTGGAACTGAATCTGAACTAAAACTATTATATTGATTTACAAAAAAAAAAAATACATAAGTAACAGTTCATTTTATTAAAATCCAGTCAAAATCTAGCCCAGTACATGTATGACCTAATCCTGGGGTACTCGAAGAGCCCTTCCGTAGGACCAACGGCAGCAACCACCGGACACTTGTCGTACAGGTACCGGTAGCACGCCTGCCGCACGTGATCCACCGTGACGCCGTCCACAGCTTGCATCTTCTGCGGCAGTGAGGGCCGATACCCATAATACAACGTACAACGCCCGATGTCCATGCAAGTACCCAATGAACTCTCAGTATCAGACAAAATTTTTGCTTTTAAAAAATTTTTAGCTCTATCTACCTCAGGCTCTGTCACACACGTAGCCAAATACATGAACTCTTCCTGAATCGACATCATTATATCGTCTTGGTACAATGTATCAGCCACGAAGTGCACCCCAAAGAGACCGCAATCTTTGTAGTTTAGATTGAACGCTTGGTATGAGTCACATAAGTTCCCCTGGGTAATAGTACGGGCGAGCCGTGCGGGGTGTTTGAGCCCACCGGGCTGGGAGCGGTCCCACCCGCCTATTATGAACCGCGCCACTTCCATGACGATTCTGTCGTCATCACTGAAGCTGGGGCCCTCTACAGCTATCACCACGTGGGCAGTGGGCATCGAGTCATCACGAAAACGAACGTCTGAACCAGAATATCTATAAGTATCCATATCTATAGATTTTAGTGGTTCTAACCCGGAAAGGTAGGAAGCGGCGAGATTTACTATTTGTTCGTGTTTGATGCCACCGACCGCTGCGAGGACCGTCCTGCATGGGTCGAAACATTTAGACAAGTACCGACATATGGTACAATCAGTGAAGTTATATAAGTTCGAGCTGGGCCCCATCACGGTATGAGCGAGAGGCGTGCCTTGAAATGCACTGGCATGCAAATAATCAAACACCACTTTGCCGGGGTCGTTGTCATGGTCTATCATTTCTGAGTACACGGTTTGTTTCTGGTGCTCTATCTCAGTCTTGTTGAAACTGTTGTTAAATATACAGTCGGTGAGTATTTCGGTAGCCAGTGCCGTATCTTCGCTCAAACACTCCACGTAATAAACAACCAGCTCACGAGTGGTGATGCATTTGTACTTGGCACCTAGACATGCCATCTGTGTCTCTAGATCGAACTTGCTTCTGCCATTACTTCCTTTAAAAGCTATATGCTCGAAAAAATGAGCTACTCCATTCTCAATATTGCTCTCGTACCTGGAGCCGGCATCTATATATAGGCCTATACATGCATTAGAAGACTCGCGCTCCTCTGTTGCGACAGTCACGCCGTTGCTCAGCTGAGTATATTGAGTAGCAGGGAGATTTTGTAAGTGATAAGTAAATGAAATAGGGTAAGAGGAATAGCGTCTGGATTTTACTGGGATCGATATTTTCGTCAGGATGTTACTTAATTTGAGCATTCTTGAAGTAATAAATATAATAATAAAAACTTATCTCTTGGTCTTGTCATTTGCACATGATGAGTCAAGGCAAAGAGTATAATAAGTATAGGGGAAATGAGTATACAAATGTACTCTGTCACGATGGGTGGTCTAAAGAGTTATTATGTACAAATGTACTCTGTGGTACCTATATCAATATTCTATTTGTTGCGCCTTGTTTGGTTCCACAGATATCCTATTCATATCATATTTGGTTCACTGTTGGTTCGCCAATGGTTCATTATTTTCTTTGCTATCCTTTTCTATTTCTATTCTTACTTTTAGTTCAGTATTTTCTTCTTTGCTCTTCTCTTAAACAGATGGGGATCTGTTTAAGAGAATCTATCTGGTGGGATCCAAGGAAGTTATTCAATATGACCGACAGTTTGGGCGTACATGCATTTGTGTTCTAAGCTCTGATGTATTTCTATCTACACATCTATATAAATAAAAATTAATTTCCGTTTGTTAGTCTCGCTAAAACTCGAGAAAAGTTGAACCGGTTCAGTTAATTTTAGTCGTGAAATGTTCTTCGAAGTCCAGTTAAGGTTTATAAGTTGAGAATATATATTTTTATGCGGTACGAAGTTTGCCGGGTCAGCTAGTCTATATAAATAAAAATGAATTTCCGTTTGTTAGTCTCGCAAAAACTCGAAACCGTTGGACCAATTTGGATAGTTTTAGTCTTGAATTATTTTTGGAAGTCCAGGGCAGGTTTGAAAGATCAGAAAAAATGTTTGAGATGGTATGAAGTTTTTTGGGTCAGATAGTAACAAATAAGATCATGAATTGATCTTATTGAATTGAATTAAGTTATTAATCACACCTAGGCGTATTATCATTTAATTACTATACTTACATTATGGGTAAGCAATATAAGACTTGCCCACCATCCTGAAGGCCCAATTCAACGTTGTCAGGAGGGGAGACTTCATTGCTAAAGTGGGAGAACCTAAATAATACCAGCGAATCGGTAGACGACCACACGGATTTGGAAGCAGGAATCACATGGAGGAAATGCTAACTTCCTAGAGAAGGAAAGGTTGTTCTTGATGAACTCCTTCTTTAAGAAGCAGCTTCGACGGAAGGTGGGCAGAGCCCCGACGCTTTGACGAAAAATGAGATATGTAGATTTCATTATGACAGACAAGAAATAATATTTGGAGATGTCAAGGTTTAATACCGGAAGTGATTACCGACTTGTACTCTAAATAACAAATACAAATTAGAGTGTGTCCGTCCTATACAGTCTGCAATCTGATTGAACTTGCTCCAAACCGTAGCTGGATCTGAAACATTCCAGTTAAAACTTTAGAAACCACAAATGGCGTTGATATTGACCATGAACTCGACCGAATGGCTGCTAGTCAATATTGCGCTTGACGTACGAGCAATCTTGCTGTTGCCTTTACTGGCAAGCATCATGAGGACATCACGCTGTTCTAACTCCTGTGAAGAAGACTGTCGCCGTCATTATAATTCAAATCCTTTGACCAATTTTGACAGCAGTTTCCGATAATGTTTCACTCTATTTCTGAGACCGATAAGGTATTGAGAAATGTTGTGAAACTTAAGGGACTTCAGTGTAAAATTGTCTCGCTTGTCTTGTATTGCACTGCTTGTATTAAAGACCTCCGAATACTTCCTGTGCGAGTGCTGGTCGCCTATCACTTTTTGTATCCAAGTCAGATAAGGACTCAGTGGCGTGTAATACCGGATGGAATTGAGAGTTTGAGTTCCGACGTGCAGGGCTGCTACCTTGCCATTGAAAAAAAGCGGGCCGCCGGTGTCGCCGGGCAACGTTTGTTGCAATTTATTCGAACACTTTGGAGCTAAGCATATATGTGGTGCAGATACTCCAATATTTTCACACTTGCTTACAATACCGGAGCCGATCTGCAACGGTCGTATCTGATCATCTTGAAACACCTTTGCAATGTCATTTGTTAAATCCTTCTGAGTAAATCCATAGCCAGCGTACTCAACGGCGTGTCCTTGTATCGCCTCGTAGTCAACTGCTGATACATGACCGTACTCCGCCATGGTAATCACATCGATATAAACCAGGCCGAGGTCGGGGATCATCGCGTAAGCCGTTGTTGGTTGTTCCATGTGCAGGATTCTTCTTTTGGACTGCGTTTCGTTGAACGGTGTCTTCATGTTACCGAACTGTACGTACTTGGAGACAGTAAGGCAGTGTGCGGCGGTCAGCACCCAGTTGGGATCAATGAGTGTACCAGTGCAGCGTCGGTAGTCGTTGTACAAAGCTACTACGTAAGGGTATTTTCCTTCGAAATCCTCGACGCCCCTAAATATGCGTCGTGTTTCATTCGTGGCTTGGTAATTTGCCAGCATCGTCGCTATCACCAGCAGAGTGGGTACAATCATGATACATGCGGTCGATACACGATTTCCGTTAAATATTGATTTATGTTTTGTAGTTAACTTACCAATATATCGTCACTCGTAAAAATGTTATGTGGCAGTGAAATGGAATAAAATAACTCGATAACTAACGATGACGCGAGAATCTATATAATGGTACAGAGTAGTCACACCCGTCCCCTATCTCCCCCATCCCCGAATCCCTGTCAACCTTCAAATTCCCAACTCCAAAATCGCCGGCAGCACACTTGTAATGCCTCTAGTTTTTGTTTTTGGGGTGTCCATTGCCGACGCCAATTGCTTACCATCAGGTGGTACATCACCGCAGACACATGTCGTTTACTGGTTTATCCCATAAAAAGAAGTAGTAGGGCAAGGGGAAGCCTAATGTCGACCTTAGGGAAAATTGACAATCAATACATAGTATAAAACAAAGTCGCTTTCGCTGTATGTCCGTATGTATGCTTAGATCTTTAAAACTACGCAACGGATTTTGACGCGGTTTTTTTTAATACATAGAGTGATTCTTAAGAAAGGTTTGTATGTATAATAAATGCATATTGCACCCGTGCGAAGCCGGGGCGGGTTGCTAGTAAAATAATAAAACTTAAATCGCGCGCGGTTTATCTCTGCGCGCGGAGACACGCCGCCGGGGTGAAACTCCGCTGCCGCGCTAGATAAGTGCGTGGCGGGATGAGCCCCGCCCCGGCGCGATCGCATTGTGAAATGGTAGCAATGACTGTCGCAACCGAGGGCTGGGCTCGCTGACACTGCAGCGGTATGTCCCCTCTTTGTGGAGTGACTTGAGAAACGCTACGGTATTCTCACCTACCACCTGACGCAGGTGTTTACCAGACGGGATAAGGTGGAAGGAAACACCCGGATGTCATCACTGCGCGGACCACCCTGCGGACACGGCGGAACACACAGTGGGGGCATGCAGGCAGTTATAATACGGACGAGAAGGACTGGGTTGCCGTCTCCTACTTTTGCGAAGCAGTCATGCTAGCTAACGAGGAGGCGGGGCGCGTAAGGTCAAGAGATCAGCATCCTCCTCACAACGCAGCCGTCGAGAAGGACACTCTGGGCGTCGGGGATTGCGGGACGATCTCCGGCCACCGTAAGTCGTACGGGCCTGTGGACGGCGAGCACGGGTAGCTCGCTGCCCGATCAGAACCAGACCCGAGGTGCGTCGTGTTCCGCGCGCATCTCAAATAGCCATTAGCCCATCAGGGATGGGGCTCAATAGGGCTGGTACCGATACGGAGCCGCGGAGAACGTAAAAGGTTACCGGGGCTCCGGCTCGAAGTGCAGGATGATTTTCCCCCTTAAAAAAGTCTAGATATTTCGTTTGTTTATCTTTCTTAGCTTTCACGAGGTTCTCGTCATGGAGAATTGTGGCATCGTGCGGCGCACTATCTCCACTATGTCAGGTTTATTGGCTACAATAGTCCTGTAAGTGATGATAGACCGATCCCAGTCCCAGTACAATGTGATATGGTCATTTTTCAGAACTGGGTCGGGTACATACTTCTTATACGGTACCTCTGACTCAACAAGTCTATAGTGCAAAGCAAGTTACTGATGGATAATCTTGTCTACATGCCCAACCGCACACTTGTCTATTCCAAATAAATAAATAAATAATATTTTCGTTATTTTCAGTAGTTGCATCAGTTGTTTCTTTTTTGCAGCTAACAACTGAGGTCATCCATTAAAGCAAGTGGGATATAACTAGACCCCTTCTCCGCGAAGGGCCTAATCCTGAATCCTTCGTGTTACATATTAATTCTTCACGGCCTCTTGGTCCGTGCCCTTGTCATGCATTTTTTTTTACAATACGTTAAATCAATAACCCTGAATCCTACAGTAGACTGGAATATTCCTCGCACTATTCTTACAGGTTCTTCATTCCATTGGATTTGTCTACATCCCGGATAGCAGAGCACGGTGCCCCACTGCCTCATACATGACTGCAAGAGGCCGCGTAGACTTGCATCTATTTTATACAACTACAACACCTTCATGAACCATGTGAATAGCACAGAATTGTATGCTTTTTTGTAATCTATCCAGGATGTAGACAAATCTTTCCGGATGGACGAACCTGTTGGCTAACAACCTTATCAATGAGGAGTAGCTCCTTAGCTCCACGTGACTATTATGATAATGGAGAATAAGGAAAGGTGCCTTCTCCCTGGAGCACTCGGGATTATGGTAGCCTGCCGGCTCGCCCGATGCCTGTCACCTCGCCTCAAGATGCCCTGCGGGCACCGCAAATAAGCCCGCAAGGCACCTTGAGGCGAGGTGACGGGCATTAGCGATCCCGCGGGCTACCATCATCCCGAGTGCTCCAGGGAGAAGTCACCGTTCCTTCTTCTCCGGCTGTCCTTAATTGGCTGGCTGGAGTAAACGATGACAAGGAACAGGTCTCCCACCTCTGGCTTGCCTTCATTGGCCAGGATTGCAGGAGTTTCTTAACCCTTCAGCCACTCATATTCTCGTTGTCCCTCTGTCGCTATATTTAGCAACCATTCCCGGGGCCCGGTCGGTGAGTTGGCGAGTCTCCGCCTGCCATTTCTACGTGTAGTAATTACATTGTTTCGGCAGGTGCCATAATAATAAGGTGTACAATAAAGATTATTATTTCCATATATTTATTTTAAATTCTCTATAAAATACATTTTTAAATACTACTTACAAAGACAAAAATAATATTTAAAAATATAAAAAATAGGAGCCGACCAGTAGCGGGAGCATGGTCCAAGCTACCGGTGGTTAGGGCTCCAGAGACAGAAACCTCCTCACGATACGTGCCGTTTCAAGGAGAACTGCCTTCTGTATCAGGCCCTTGACCCAACTGCCTAACGCTAGCCTCCTAAGGTGGTTGTCGAGGCTATTAGGGATTAACCCATTGGCCGACACGACTATCGGCACAATGATAGCCGAATCTACATTCCACATGTCGACAACCTCGTGAGCCAAATCAAGATATTTGATTTGTTTATCTTTTTCAGCTTTCACGAGGTTCTCATCATGAGGAATAGAAAGAAAGAAAGAAAAGAAAGAATATAATATCACCACTATATCAGGTTTTTTGGCTATAATAGTCCTGTCAGTGATGATAGACCGGTCCCAGTACAACGTGATATGGTCATTTTCCAGAACTGGGTCGGGCACATACTTGTAGTACGGTACCTCAGACTCAACAAGTCGATAGTGCAAAGCAAGTTGCTGATGGATAATCTTGGCTACTTGATTATGCCTATGCAAATATTCACTGTTAGCCAAACGACCACAACCAGAAATAATATGTCTAATGGATTCACCAGGACTATGACATGCCCGACATATGTCAACCGTCCCATCCTTAATTATATATTTCCGGTAGTTATTCGTAAGGATAACTTCGTCCATAATTGCACAGACAAATCCTTCAGTTTCTCCAAAGAGATTACTGAATCGTAGCCAAGATACGGACGCTAGAAAATCTACACTGGGCCCATGAAGGGCCCGGAAGAAGCGTCCGTGGAGCTCCTTGCTGTGCCATACCTCCTTGCGATCATTGACGCTCAGTACCACAGGTTTGCGCCAGTTCTCTTTTGCCAAGGATAGCGGAGTGAATCCATTGTCCACCGCTGCTACTTCTCGATGCATACCCTCGTTGACTTTCAGGAAATATTCCCTGAGGCTGCACACCTCACGGTTGTGAAGGGTCTTAGCATTTAATAAGCCTCGACCACCACACTTCCGCGGGATGTACAACCTCATGACCGACGAACGAGGGTGATGCATGCGATTTGCAGTCAGCAGGGTCCGGACTCGTCTATCCAGGGCGTCAAGTTCAGTCTGTGTCCACTTGAGTATACCAAAAGAATACATTAGGACTGGCATGACCCAACCGTTAAAGGCTCGCACCTTGTTTCCGCCTGATAAGGAACTTTTTAGTACCTTATTCAGGCGGCCAAAGAAGCGCTCCTGTAGCGATTGCTTCATGTCCGGTCCATTAATGCCTAATCCTTCTGACATACCCAGGTACTTGTATGTATCGTTTGCGGAGAGTGATCTCAGTTTTGTGAAATCTGAGAGTTCTAGTCCCTCAGATTCCACAATCCCTCCTCGCTTTACATGCATGACCGCACACTTGTCTACTCCAAACTCCATTCTGATGGAACTACTAAATTTTTCAGTTATATTCAGTAGTTCCATCAGTTGTTTCTTGTTTGGAGCAAACAACTTGAGGTCATCCATGTAAAGTAAGTGGGATATAACTAGACCCCTTCTCCGCAAAGGATAGCCTAGCCCTGAATCCTCCAGTAGAGTACTTAGAGGATTCAAGGCCAAGCAGAACCATAGTGGGCTCAGGCTGTCACCCTGGAATATTCCTCGTACTATCCTTACAGGTTCTTCATTCCCTTGGATTTGTCTACATCCCGGATAGCAAAGCACGGTGCTCCACTGCCTCATACATGACTCCAAGAAGGCGCGTAAACTTGCATGTATTTTATACAACTCCAGCACCTTCAGGAGCCATGTATGTGGCATAGAATCATATGCTTTTTTATAGTCTATCCAGCATGTAGACAAATCTTTTCGGGACCGACGAACCTGTTGGCTAACAACCATATCAATGAGGAGTAGCTCCTTAGTTCCACGAGACCCCTCCCTACATCCATTTTGAGATACCGACATGATGGAATTTTTTTTAATATGTTTTGTTATTTTTGTAAGATTGGTAAAGACATACATAATAATAATAATAATCTTTATTGTACACCTTAAATTAATAGAATATACATGTAATGTTATAATAAAGAATAGTAGGGTAAAAAGACGGCCTTATCACTAAAAGCGATCTCTACCATAGTCATCCATAGTTCCCAATTTACCACTCCATAGCAACCCATCCATAGCCCTACCTTTTTTTCCCATTATTCAATTACAATAGTCCTACACTAACCGGGGACTGTCCTTGGGTGCATTTCCATAGTGCATACAGGGATAGTCGCCGGTTTGTGTCTCCATTACATTTAGATTAAAGTTGTCTAAAGGGCCTCTGCGCAGTTGGCTTCGGCCCCTCGTACGCCTCCCAAATGACCGGGACCATGTGGTCCCGTGAATGGTAAAGACATACATAATAATAATATAGCCTTTTAATCAGATCTCTTAGTACAATAGGTTTTTAAACTTATGTATAGAACTAACATTATAATATAAAACTAAATATGTATGCATAATTTAGACTAAAATTTGTTGTTTGGTTATCTTCCCTAGATCTGTTTGCCAGTCGGCAAAGGCCTCCTCCAACATTTTCCACTCCTTTCTTTCTTGAGCCACTCTGTTCCATGCATAGATATATAACATAGATGTGTGACTATTGTCTACGGGTAGAATTTAAGATCCATCTCGACGGTAAATTCATAAACATACTGTTGTTTCTTTTTTACTTATGTTTCTTTGCTTATGCAGAAAGAGACAACACATTATTGTCATTCTGGCAATAATTTTTTGACGTCATCAAAAATACCTAGTTCTGCCGAATTCGCCATCTTGGTCTCTGTTATCAGTGCATGTCAGTGGTACATCAGCTGTCAAAGCATTGGTCAATAATATTTTGTTACGAAAATTTTTAGAATTCCTGTTATTTTTGTGTGTGGTAAGCAAAGAAATTATTGGTTAGTGAGAAGAACTATGCCCGGGTGTAGTGTTATTGGATGTAGCACTAAAAATATCACTAAATCGGCAGGTGTAACATTACATCGGTAAGTACTGTTATTTTTCATTAAAATATCTCTGTTTTTTAAACTATTCAAGTGAGCTTGCTGCAAGTTGACTAAATACAATACTTTTCTAACTAATGCAGTGCTTATTTTCATTAATTTTAGTTGAAATACGGCTAAACATTTTTTCATTGAAAAATAGTGATGTACATACATGTTTGTTCCCGTATCGATAATTTTGTCGTTCATATTAATAAATGCTTCAAAAGTAGAACAAAAACTATACTAAATTCTGAATGATAAAGTGCATTAATTTGACATAATGACAAAATGCAAAAAACATTAAATATGTACTCGTCAAAAATTTTATTTTATCGACAATATTCCACCATAATCAATACCTACGTAATGTTATAAATAATACAAAACATGAATAATTTTTGTACAATATAAGATACAGAAAAATACTTGTGGGAAAAGCATTTACTTCTAAATTGTATTTTTATCAAATACCGCTCGAGAGACTCCAATGAAGCAAACAAATGAAATATAACTCCTCCGCTATCTATCACTATCATTGTAATGTACAAACATTTTCATTCAGACCTTAGTACAGTACCTATAGAATCTATAGAGATAATCTATGTTCGATTGAATCAAGTAAGTTAAATTATACTATTTATGTTGCAGCCTCTAGCCAGATCTGTGCATGAAAATAAACTTGGAACCAGTTCTGGAGTCGTCTCGAAATCAGTCAGTCGTCAGTTGCAGATTACATTACTGGGAAACAGTACGAAAAATACAAAGATATTGTAACTATATTATGTATAAATCTTGATGTTATGAATACTTTGAAACAGTCTTATTTTTCAACCCTCAAAAATTACTTAACCTTAAGTATGTAAATGTTAACCAGTTGATGGTAAATCCTTTTCATAAATTACGATACATATGTATCGTGAAAGGTATGATGTGAATGTATGGACACGATCGACCGGAGTAATAGTACACGCAGTAACTACTAAATATATTTCGCTAATATTTTTAGTAATGTTTAGTAGCTAGATAAAAATCAAATCCAGATGAATCATAAAATAATGATATTTTATCGATAAATCAACTAAAACCAATACCAAAATATCGATACTTCTACAGTTTCAATAGTCACATCCCTAGTTCTATCCGCCATTGCGAATGACCAAGTGAAGTTTAGGTAGGCACGTTTTTTTCGTAGTTGCTTCACATCCATAGTCTTATCATATCAGTGGTTCCATGTGACTCCTGCCACTTGTCATACGTTATCGTCCCACCTTTTCTGTGGTCGGCCTCTTTTCCTTTTACCTTCCCTTGGGTACCACCCTGCGGGCCTATTATTATAGATGTGGATAATGACACTAATGGATTTTATACTTATGACTGTGTTATTTATGTTTTGTTTTATGCAACCAACCTATCAGTATAAATGACTGAAAATAGTTACTTTTTTAGGTTTCTAGTTTTCACGTTTTCTTTGTTTTTGAAAATTGGCATTTTTTAAAATTGAGGCCATATTGCCATGGTCACATTACCATCAGGATCTCAATTTTGGAGAATAAAAACATAACATCACACAGAAGTAACACCCACTGTTCACTATTTATGTTATGAGTCCCATGTAATAGGGGGTGACCTTATTGCCATATACCGGGCATGATTCCAGACTCTGTGCTACCGTGCTACTACTGAGATTTTTTTTAAACCCAGTAAACCTTTGGAGAATATTTGTGGAATTTTTAAAACTACGAGTTATCTATGGTTATGACAGATTGAAATAGTTTCACTTGACAATTTTAGATTATCTTAGATTATTTTACAATCATGCGGAGAACTTTATTAAAATCATTTTCTAGTCTCTCAATTAATTGTAAGAGGCAATATGGTTGGAAACCTGTGGAACCTTTGGACCCATGCATACAGGTGACCATTCTTCATAATGGTGTAAAGATTGCCACGGAGGAGGTAAAATCTCCACTCGCGTGCGTGACACTATCGGTGGCTGCGGGTTCCAGGTATGAGACAAAGTGTACTAACGGACTGACGCACTTTATTGAGCATATGGCATTTAAAGGATTCCGATCGATGAGGAAAGATAAGTTCGAAGAAGCTGTTGCACATATGGGAGCAAAGATGACAGTGCAGACCTCAAGAGAAATGCAGGTATTCTCAGTTGTGTTGCCGTCTGAAATGTCGACTGCCGCTGTAGACAAATTGTCCAAGATCATTTGTGACATCGAGTTTAGTGACGATGAGGTTTGCAAAGAGAAGAATAACATCTGTTTGGAGCTAAATGATAATGATGTTAATCCAAAACAGCTGGTGTTCGATTATCTACATGCAACTGCCTTCCAGGGCACGCCGCTTGCGCAGCGCGTTATGGGTACATCTGAAAATTTGGACAACTTTGATGCGGTAATGATAGATAACTTCATGACTGACCAATACCAACCTTATAGATTTGTTATAGCTACATCAGGAGAAGTGTCGCACGATAAAATAATGCAGTATGCAGAGCCACGGTTCGGGTGTATAACACCACAGCCATGTCGTGAGGCGGAGCCGGGACCCAGCCGATACACTGGCTCTCAAGTAGTATTTCGCGACGATTCTATGCCTTTCTGTTATGCAGCAATCGCATTCGAAGCACCAGGCTACTTTAGCCCTCAATACCTTAGTATGCTGGTAATGTCATACATAGTAGGTTCGTGGGACAAGAGCCAGAGCCGTGGCGAAAACCACGCGCCGCTAGTGGCGCGCGCGGTTTCATGTGCTAACTTGTGCGAAAGGTACGAGACGTTCTACATCCCGTACCGAGACATCGGCTTGTGGGGCGTCTATTTTGTGGCTGACAAGTGGAAGCTGGATGTAGTGGTATCTTATATTCAGGAACAATGGTTGCAGTTGTGTACTATGGTACAGAAAACCGATATTGAAAGAGGTTTGAATGCGCTGCGGTTGACGTTCGCGCAACAGTACGGGAGTGTCGTGACTTCATCACACGATATAGGTAAGCAGATGCTGTATACCAGCGGCCGCAAGTCATTGGAGCATCTGCTACAGAGCTTGAATAATATCAAAGTGGATAATATTCGGAACGTGGCAACCCAAATGATGTACGACAAGTGTCCAGCAGTGGCCGTCGTGGGTCCCTCAGAGACGATGCCCGACTACAACAGGATAAGAGCTGGCCAGTGGTGGCTTAGGGTTTAATTTTTTGTAGATTAACCGCCTTATTTATTAATAATTGCCTTTATATACACAAACTCGTTCACTGTCTTTGTACTTCTTACGTGGTATTTATATTATTACAAAGCTGAAGAGTTTCTTTGTTAAACGTGCTTGTCTACGAAACTACTTACTTACCTACTTGTTCGAAATAAACGATATATTTTTGTTAAATACTTTCTTAGAAGACAAATATCATCCATTGACTTCTCCCGCCTGGGCGAGGCGAGAGTATCGGCATCAGCCCTAATGGGTCCCTAATGGGTAGTTTCGACGCGGTGACGTGGCGACTGTCACGCTGCTACTGATGTCATTAGCAGCGCGACAGTCGCCGCCTCGCGGGTCGCGAAATGCTGCTCATGAATATGAGCCTCTAGCATGGCTTGAAACTAGTCGAGTTCCTCGTCAAATTATTACGTGAGTAAGCTGAAAACGTGATAAAATTCTTTATATTTAAAATTCATTTCAATTTGAAGTATTATAATGACGTGATAATATATATTGATAGTACTAGTATAGTACTTTCAACAATAATTGTATGTAACATGTCAAAGTTTCTTAATTTTATCACTCACTCACTGACCGACCGAACATCAAAAGTACAAGGGCATCGACGTCATCACAAGCCATTTCTTCCTACCAACCTTCAAACAATACAATTATTCATATTCCCTTGATTTAGAAGTAAGGGAAAACCTGGTAAAAGTTAAAGGATTTTCAATATATGAGTAAATACATTAACCAACTTGGTATTACTTACATGGCGATCACTTACGCAATATTTCAAGAGAGGTAGAGGCAAGGGACCAGCTCTCCGTAGAGGAAGTCTTGGCTCGCTGCTGTTTTGTGTATGCCGACTATGTAAGGACATTTTGCTTCTATAGTTCACGATTACTTTTCAGGGGACTTCCTCGTTAGACGGGTGGTTGCAAGTGCCAGGCTAGAGGACTCGGGTTCGATTCCCGAGTCAGGGCAAAGTATCACTGGGTATTTTTTTTTACTCCGCAGTAGCACGGAATCTGGAATAGTGTCCAATATAGGCACACCCTATTACATGGGACTTATAACATAAATAGAAAAGAGTAGGTGTTACATTGTTCAGTGGCATCAAGTGCCGTAATGTGCACCTCTGCCTACCCCTTCAGGTATAGAAAGCGTGATGATATTTATTTTATTCAAAATTATCAAATGACATCCCCCGCCTTTAGTAGGGAAGAGTCTGTAGAGTGTCAGACTCTTTCTTATTAATAAAACCGTTTAAAACAATATATTATTCCGAGAAGGCGACGCAAAAATGGTTGATGACATAGACGTCCGCCTATGTCATCGATGATGATGATGATGATGATGAGATTACTATGTCAGTCAGTCACCTTTGATTTATATATATATATATATATATTTAGATTTCAAAATGATTCACTCTGCGAATATGTGAACGAACATTCGTGAATGTGTAAATGCTATTGCATTTACACATTCAGTGGCAGCATACCTCCTCTATATTTACGGATGGTAGACGGAATATGTGACCGTACACTAGCAGTTCTTCAATAGCTCACTTATGTAGCTGGTATGTTCATGAGGATCTGTCATCTTCCAATCTAGAGTTCACAGAACATATACTTTAAAAAAAAAAAAAAAAACAAAAGAACATATACTGCTGTGCTCGAGTTAAACATTAAGCCATCCGTGTTCGATATGTCGCCTTCTGTGGATTAAGAGAAATACATTTATAGTAAGGCAAATTGGAACGATAATACCATTTCAGAAACTTGTTTCTTTTTTAATTTATATAAATATAATACACGTCACGTTTTGTCTACCCGTGCGTAGGCAGAAAGCGGGCTGAGGATTGCCTTTTTGCTACACTGAATGTGTGTGGAGGCGTAGAAGGCAAGATGTTAGAAATATGTGAGATGATGAATACAAGAAAGATTGATTTGTTAGGGGTGAGCGAGACGAAAAGAAAGGGTTGTATGACTGCCACACATGGCCAATATATTGCTTACTGGTCTGGTGTTGCAAGTTCCCAGAAAGGCAGCCAGGGCGTGGGGGTCATACTATCTGAAAGGATGAATGAATGTGTGAAAGAGTATGAATGTGTGAGTCCCAGGATACTTTGGATCCGCCTTAAAATTGGCTTGACCAAATTATTTGTCATCTGTGCTTATGCCCCGGACATGTCAAAGCCAATTGGGGTGAGGGAAGTATTCTGGGATAACTTGAGAGATGTTCTTAATGAATGTAAAGAGAATGAAAGAATAATTATGCTTGGAGATTTTAATGGATGGGTTGGAGTGGCACGCGATGGGTACCATAGAGTATTAGGGCGATTTGGAGACGAAAGAGTGAACGAGAATAGGGTATGTCTTCTAGATATATGTGTAGAAAAGGAACTTGTTGTGACCAACACAACATTTAGTCACAAGAAGATACACAGATATAGGTACGTGGCAAAGCATACAGATCGATTTTGTGATTGTTGATAAACGCCGGAGGACAAAAGTGAAGGATACAAGGGTTTACCGTGGCACGAATGTCGACCACTTCCTAGTAATTACTAGAATAACTGGACTGGTAATGAAGCGGAGACATCGGCTACGGGTAAGGTTGCCAGGAACCGAGAGAGTGAGAGTTGAACGGTTGAGAGAAGAGGAAGCTAGGGACCAGTACAGGAAACTATTAAATGAAAGGTTTAGAATAAGAATAATCTATTTGAATGTACTCCACTTCAATATTTATTTTTTTTAATTACTATAAGGTGTTAATAAATTAGCTCTAACTATTTTATGAGGTTGGTGGGAATCAATAAACTGACACGTTTAGCAAAAAAAAAATTAACAATTTTAACGACTTTTATTTTTGACAAAAATAAAGGAGTTGGTTAAACATTTTTGTGCAAACCGTCCGTGGGGCTGCGCTTGCGGACCGAGCGAAGCAATGGCGCGCCGTCACCGTCCCCATGTTATCGCAATATCTCTCTCTTTCTCCCTCTCTCCCGTTCGCTAGTTGCCCCGCTCTCTTTCCCACTTCTCTCTCTCTCGATCGCCAGTTGACCGATAGCTGTCGCGCGGGAAGGGTGTGGCCATCAGTGTCGTTCAGTGTTGTGTTCGATCAATCGCTCGCGCCATTTTTTATTGTTTGTTGTTCAATATTCAATAATGCCGTTTACGTACAGTAACCGCAAATACTTAGACATGTTAATGTGGTACATTAGAAGTGGCGAAAATGTATCTGCAGCTCGTCAGTGGTAGTGAGATTAGAAACGCGGACGAATTAAAAATAAGCATAATAAACGCGTTTGATATTATTAAAAGTGACAGAGACACATTATTGCGAGTGAAAAACAACGTAATACGTCGCGTCGTGCAAGCTTGTGCATCGAACAAGGTGGAACACACTTCCAAGTTCCAGCATCTTCTGTAAATAAGGTAGACTCTTTGTTAATACTTAAGTATCTAGAGACGGACATTTATTCCGATGAATACTTGTAAATGATAAATACCTAAGTAGCTACCAACTACCTAGTACTAGTACTACTAACTACCGAAGTATTGGTTTTTGGTCGAGTTATTATTAGTATTTACCTATTCAAAAAATTGACATAATTAATCATTGTAGCTATGCTATTTTAATTATAAGCATATCAATTCAGTTAAATAACATAATCTAAACAGAGTCGCGTGGTCGTTTATTAAAATGAAACATTATTAAGTTCAGTAGTAACATAAGCGCGCTGTATCTACCACGACACCCGCGTCAGCGCGGTCGCGCGGGGCTTCGTCGACGGCCTAGTACGGCGTACGGCGCGCATGTTAGGCTGTTTACGTGTAACACAAATAGTGGAATAACTTTAAAACGGTAGCTTTTTTTTAAATTATTCTTTCGTGATTAATTATGGAATAAATGTTTCAACAAAACCTTAGATTTCCTAAAGCTAATTTATTAACACCTTATATATTAAAGTAAAATTATGCTAGACTATTAACTAGATAATAATAATACATTATTTACTCTGTTTTTATTTCGGTTTATTTTTATAAATAATTCACACGTTTCCTTATACCCAAGATAACAATAACAAAACCTTTTTATAATAATATATACTTACTACAAAATCAACACCGACAATCAACCAGAAAAGCACGTGACGCACCCCCACCACCTCCGGACTCGTCGCTTAGCTCCGCCTCGCCGTCGCCGGACCCCAGCCCCGCAGGATCACCGGTGACAGCAGTTGCGTCGAGCTCGAGCGACGACTATTTCTCCCCGCCGACGTCGCCGACACCTGTACGTCGGCCGGGGAGAGGCCGGCCACCGACGGGCTTGGGAGCCAGGGGCCAACAGGCCCCGGGACGGGTCCCCGCTACCGGTGGCTGTGTGCGGCGCATGAAATGGTCTCAAACCATAAATGAGAATGTCATGCGCTCGTACTACGGTGCTACAGAGGGAGGGAGTAACCTCACTGCGTACCGTGAAAGGATGCTTTCTATATTTCAGGTTCTTGAGCCATCTATCAACGTCTCGGCCCAATGTCTGTGGGATCAGGTGCGGGTCATCCAACGCAATCGCAGATTGGATGAGGCTGCGCTTGATCGGCTACGCCTAGAAGCACTGCGCAATCGTGTCGTCCCCGCACCACCACAATCGGTGGCACAAACACCTGTAGTCTCACAATGTGTGACGCCAACCACCCCTATCGTGGGTGTGGAGGATGACAGGGTTGAACAAGTGAGTACTCAGTGCAATGAACGACTGAGGAGTGCTTTGGAGGATGCGGTTCGTGAGTATAGACTTACTCCTAGTAATTTAAGACCAAAATTACCACGTTTGCCCATGTGTAGAAAAAATAGGGCGCTGGTGAGCGCCTTGGATTCGCTACTTAAAAAATATTTTGAGAGTAGCGAAAACCTCTATGATACACACTCAATCTTGTACTGTGGGGCGGTAGCTGCTTGTCGAGTGGCTAGTGTCAGATTCCC